ACATGATTTACATATACTTTGTATGTACTTGTCAAACAACGTTGATGTTTTCAGCGATATATCAGTATTTCTAATGGATAATATTTCATTGAGAATTAGCCCTTGTTTAAACAGAATATAAAAACATAAGGCGTCAGCCAGATACCACTTAAACACACATTCGCGGTTTTTGTTTGTTTAAAGTTTTCCAGCAGAAGATGAGAGCAGTTCAAACCATGTCGTTTAGTTAAAATAACAATTGGATATTCATCTTGATTACGTTATCCTTATAAAACCTAGACTATGGTATCTTTGGGAGGTTGTCTGGTGTCATGTTGAGGAGAACATGTGGCGTGGTTCTGTTACTTGTGTAAATTATCGAATTAACAAACATGCTTTAACCAAAAGTTCGAGTTGGAGTTACTTTCCTTGTTTTTGTTTTTTGTTTTCACTTTGTATGTCAATTCAAAAACAAAACATCAGGAATAAGATCAATAATTTACTTTTTTTATGGGTATGGTATGGACGTCGATCAGTGTTTTACACATTCGCTATGGAGCATAGCAGACGCAGATAAGTTCATTGGTAAATGCACTTGCTTTATTCAAACAAGGCTGACGTTTGATTGATAGTACCAGAGTGGATATCATTATTCTTTCTCTTTTTCCTTTGGTCATGACCAGGAATGATATACTCATTAGCATAGGTCCTTAGATTCAATGCACGACATACACAATGTAGAAGTAAAAAAACCATGCATAAGTAGACACTTATAATAATCTGATAGTGTGTTTATAGTGCAAATACATACAATATTGATTTGGTCCCGTTGAACATCATATACATTTCATGAGTTTGTCAGTTTTTGTTGCCATTTCCATGAACACAAAATACCATTAAAAATATGAAAAAAAAATTATGACAAGAATACATATATACATGATATAATATTAATGTTTAATCACTTAACGTGAAATTATTTGATTGCTTTTATTTTAGGTTCAAACGGTTTTTATTCCCTCAGCATATTGTGGGTGGGATGTAAGATTTGGGGTGCCCCGTTGCTTTTAATAGCATTCACAGGCACAGATCCGGGGTTTTATGTAGGGAATCCAAGGGGCTAATTAATAATTTTATATGTGTAAAAGGTAGGTTGCTTGAGACATCTATACTTGTAACAGGTAATTAACCTGACACAACTATACTTGTAACAGGTAGATTTCCTGACACATCTATACTTGTAACAGGTAGGTTACCTGACCTATTAAACCTTGTAACAGGTAGGCTCCATAATGCATTTTTACATGTAACAAGTAGGTTAGATTCCTTACACATCTATACTTGTAACAGGTATGTTACCTCATGCATTTCTACCTGTAACAGGTAGGATCCCAATGCATTTATACTTGCAGTAGGTAGGCTATATAATACATTTTTACTTGTAACAGGTAGGTTATCTAAAACATTAATACTTGTAATAGGTAGGCTACCTTTTGCATTTATACATGTAACAAGTTAGGTTCCTTATGCATTTATTCTTGTAACAGGTAGGTTACCTGATGCATTTCGACCTGTAACAGGTAGGATCCCAGTGCATTTATACTTGCAGTAGGTAGGTTATATGATACATTTGTACTTGTAACAGGTAGGTTACCAAATACTTGTTTAGTTGTAACAGGAAGGTTACCTTAGATAGTTATACTTGTAACAGGTAGGTTATTTAATATATTGATACTTGTAACAGGTAGGCTACCTTATGCATTTAAACCTGTTACAGGTAGATTTACTTATACATTTAAACTTGAAACAGGAAGGTTACCAAATACTTGTTTAGTTGTAACATGAAGGTTACCTTAGATAGTTATACTTGTAACAGGTTGGTTATTTATTATATTGATACTTGTAATAGGCAGGTTATCTAAAACATTTATAGTTGTAACAGGTAGGATCCCAATACATTTATTATTGCAGTAGGTAGGTTATATAATACATTTGTAGTTGTAACAGGTAGGTTACCTAACACATTAATACTTGTAACAGGTAACTACCTTATGCATTTAAACCTGTTACAGGTAGGTTTCCTAATACATTTAAACTTGTTACAGGTAGGTTACCAAATACTTGTTTAGTTGTAACATGAAGGTTACCTTAAATAGTTATACTTGTAACAGGTAGGTTATTTAATACATTGATACTTATAACAGGTAGGTTATCTAAAACATTTAGAGTTGTAACAGGTAGGTTACCTAACACATTAATACTTGTAACAGGTAGGCTATTTAATACATTGATACTTATAACAGGTAGTTTATCTAAAATATTTATAGTTGTAACAGGTAGGTTACCTATTACATTAATACTTGTAACAGGTAGGTTATTTAATACATTGATACTTATAACAGGTAGGTTATCTAAAACATTTAGAGTTGTAACAGGTAGGTTATTTAATACATTGATACTTATAACATGTAGGTTATCTAAAACATTTATAGTTGTAACAGGAGGGTTACCTTAAATAGTTATATTTGTAACAGGTAGGTTATTTAATACATTGATACTTATAACATGTAGGTTATCTAAAACATTTAGAGTTGTAACAGGAAGGTTACCTTAAATAGTTATACTTGTAACAGGTAGGTTATTTAATACATTGATACTTATAACAGGTAGGTTATCTAAAACATTTAGAGTTGTAACAGGTAGGTTACCTAACACATTAATACTTGTAACAGGTAGGCTATTTTATACATTGATACTTATAACAGGTAGGTTATCTAAAATATTTATTGTTGTAACAGGTAGGTTACCTAACACATTAATACTTGTAACAAGTAGGCTACCTTATGTATTTATACCTGTTACAGGTAGGGAACCAATACATTTATAGGCGTAACAGGTATGTTACCTTATACATTTAAACTTGTAACAGGAAGGTTACTTAATACACTGATACTTGTTATAGGTAGGTTCTCTTAAACATTTATAGTTGTAACAGGTAGGTTACCTAACACATTAATACTTGTGACAGGTAGGCTACCTTATGCATTTAAACCTGTTACGGGAAGGTTATCTAATACATTTAAACTTGTTACAGGTAGGTTACCAAATACTTGTTTAGTTGTAACATGAAGGTTACCTTAAATAGTTATACTTGTAACAGGTAGGTTATTTAATATATTGATACTTGTAACAGGTATGTTACCTAACAAATTAATACTTGTAACAGGTAGGTTACTTAATACATTGATACTTGTAAAAGGTAAGTTATCTAAAATATTTATTGTTGTAACAGGAAGGTTACCTAACACATTAATGCTTGTAGCAGGTAGACTACCTTATGCATGTTTATCTGTTACAGGTAGGTTAACTAGTACAGTTATAGGCGTAACAGGTAGGTTATTTAATACATTGATACTTGTAATAGGTAGGTTCTCTAAAACATTTATAGTTGTAACAGGTAGGTTACCTTATGCATTTATACTTTTACAGGTAGGTTAACTAATACATTTATAGGCGTAACAGGTATGTTACCAAATACATTTAAACTTGTAACAGGAAGGTTACCAAATACTTGTTTAGTTGTAACAGGAAGGTTACCATAAATAGTTGTACTGGAAACAGGTAGGTTATTGAATACACTGATACTTGTAAGGTTATCTAAGACATTTATAGTTGTAACAGGTAGGTTACCTAATATATTCAAACTTGTTACATGTAGGTTACCTAATATAATTATACTTCTAACAGATAGGTTATATAATACATTTATAGTGAAAACAGGTAGAATACCTTAAACAATTTATACTTGTAAGAGGTGGGTAACTTAATATTTGTATACTTGTTACAGGTAGGTTACCTAGTTTGCTACTTAAGAACCTGTTTTAAGTTATGATAACCTGATTATACTGTGATATTTTAGTGTTGATTTATGCATTCACTGTTTATTACATTGTTTTTACCTTGTTACTTTCCTGTATTTGACAGATAGATATTACGACGGCGGCAGGAAGCATAACGCTTCCTGAATACATTTTTTCGCTTTCGTATTTTCGATGTGGTTTCATAGAATATATCTATCTTGTGTGGTATAGACAGAGTAATTGCCAACCCTTTATACAGTTGTGTTTCTAGCTTAAGCTGGAACATATCAGTTTGTCACCACCTAGGGGGTTGGGGTTAGCATCGTGCGAAAATGCACACATTTAATGGTGAACGATAAAAAGGGAATGACGATATTCGTACGCCAAATACGTTCTGTTTACAAACTTCAGGATTTCTGTCGGTGTATATGTAGGTGAAAGTGTAACAGAGGAACTTTAGGGTGAGTAGTTGGTTTTCTATCATCGACAGAGCAAAAAGACAACAAAATGAGTTGAAACACGTCGATACCTTAAACATATTAAAAATGTTTTGAAAATTTTGATGCCAAAGAGTCAGCAATGATAAATTTCACATTAACTACAAGGATATGTTTGTCTACTGCGGTGTCTCGCCTTAAGCAATGATGTCTGTACACTTTTAATACACTTTTCCTGCTTAAGATATTTCGAGAACTATCAAGCTTCTGATCATTGATGCTTTTGTACATTTTACAACCTAGTCTCAAACAAAGTTTGTTTGTTTACTTTGTTTTGTTTATTTCGATACATTTTCTTTAATATACCGGGAATTTTCCGATGCAGTAAAATTTTCGCCCTTTTCGCTCTCCATTATGAGGGGGAATTGATCATAACAGCGAATATAAGTCAACAGCATAATATGCATAGTGATCAAATGTGAAGGGCGAAATTTTCACTGAGCGAAAACTGATTTCATGGGCGAAGGGCGAAAGAGTGACTGGGCGAAAAATTCTCGATATAATGTATGTATGACACAGTCAGGCTTAGCATGCGTTTCCTTAATGAGAACTATTATAGACATACTCCTATCATTTGTAATTAAATTGAAGCTAATATTAAGACCAGTGAGAGAAGTGTTGAGTTATCATTAATCAAAAGGTCAAATTAAAGACAAATAATACATCACAGTTTAAATGTTTTACTGGAAACAAATGTTCATTTTACAGCTTAAAATAATAATTTAGAGTTAGATTATGTCAACAACATGTTATAAAAGACATAAAATAGAAATAAATAATAATGAGTATTAGGAGCTGTAAAATTCATCACATTCACCGGGAATATCACAGTCATGCTATTTGAGCTGTCAAAGTGAGCAAAATTACTTAAGTTCTTTTGCAAGTATCCGCAAACGCAATACTCAGCATGAACAAACATCTTGTACTGTTAAACTTCAAAGACAATGTTCGAATTCTATACTAAGTACTTTGAACGGATATTTAAAAGTCAACACTACGACTTTGCTATTTGTATTTTGCTGAACATCAGTCCAATGGTCTCGCACACAGGAGCCAGACAGCAGGCGATGCAGGTGCCGAAGAACCTCTGGCATACTCCTAAGACGATGCCGTAGGCCTTGAGACCAGGTGTGCAGCACCAGACAGCGTTGAAGGTAATCATGGCAAACTCGCAACCCCAGTAAAGAGCGATACAAAGGCCACACAAGGTACTCATGAACTTGTAACAGCAGTTCTTTCCACACGTAAAACATTTGTGACTGTTTGTCCAGACACAGTCAATACTGTGGGCACTCTCTGGCTCACCGAGGACATCCTCGAACGCTGCCTGCAATTTAGATTAAACATTCATATTCTCATCAATTCTTTTTTTTGTCATAATATATTTTCTTTTTGAATACCAAAATTCTGAATGTTCTTTATTTTTGAATTAGAAACCGAAATATTCGTTTGACTAGGTGCATGTTGACTTATTCGAAAATAATTTAAGGCAAACTTTTAGAAAGAGGAACAAAATCAACAGTATCTGTCAACATTATGGAGGATCTAAGTGTTCACGCACTTTTTAATTGCTTTTCTTTAATTTACGTGTGTGTCTTAAAAGTACCAATAGAAATATATTACATACGTTGAAAAGGTAGTTCTGTACCTTAATTTCGAAATTGAAGATATATAACTTTTAATGTAATATTATTTATATCATCAAATCATTTAAAACATTATCATAAATCATTAAACACAACCGTATATCAAGACGTTTATGCTCATCTTAAATGTATAAAACAAAACCTATACTTTTCTTTTGGTATTTTCTCTGTTAAATAATTTCTAATTACGCATTCTATTTGATATAGTTTCTGCAATTTCATATTTCTTAACAGATATTAGCAATACGAACCTGCACTGTGTTATTTAATTCATTAGGATCCCTGTTGATGAGATCAAACTCTGTGTCCGACATGATGGAAGTATGTAACACGTTCCCAGGGTGTTTCACAGTCTGTTTGAGTCTGGATATTAAACATGTCGTCGACGAGTTGGCCTTTTTATACCTGTCGTATCCATAACTACAACTTCCAAAACGAATGTCCAAAGCAGAGCTGCGGTTCAGACTTGAACCCTGATTGTTTAATTAAAGAATATCTCAAAATAGGTCATAGCTCCCACATGATTAACGTATATTTACTTGTCAAACAACGTTGATGTTTTCAGTGTTATATCAGTATTTTTAATGGATAAGATTACATTGAAAATTAGCTCGTGTTTAAAGAGAATATATAAGCGTAAGGCGACGGCCTGATACCACTTAAACACACATTCGCGGTTTTTGTTTGTTTAGAAGGTTTCCTGCAGAAAATGAGAGTAGTTCGAACCATGTCGTTTAATTAAAGCCATCATAAGATATTCATCTTGCTTACGTTATGTTAATGAGAACACGTGGCGTGTTCTATTACTGGTGTAAATTATCGAATTAACAAACATGCTTTAAACAAAACTACGAGTTGGAGCACCTTTTCGTTTGTTTGTTTCTTTTTCATTTTTGTTTGTTTTGAATTTCACTCTGTATGACAATTCAAAAACAAAACATCAGGAATAAGATCAATAATTTACTTTTTTATGGGTATGGTATGGACGTCGATCAGTGTTTTACACATTCGCTATGGAGCATAGCAGACGCAGATTAGTGAATTCACTTGCTTTATTCAAACAAGGCTGGCGTTCCTTTGAAAATACCAGAGCGGATACCATCATTCTTTCTCTCTCTTCTTAGGTTATAACCAGGAATGCTAGACTCATTAGCATAGGTCCTGAGATTCAATGCACGACATACACAATGTAGAAGTTAAAAAAAACATGTAAAAGTAGGATCTGACCGCTGACCTGACAATAATTCGATAGTGTATTTATAGTGCAAATACATTTATTGATTTGTTCCAGTTGAATATCCTATACAGTTTACGAGTTTGTCAGTTTTTGTTGAAAACGAAATACCTGTGCAAATATGAATACAAATCGGACTTGCGAAAAGAATACATCGAGAGATGATTTAAGATTTATGTCTATGTCACTCAACGAGAAATGATTTGATGGTTGTTGATACTATAGATCCAAGATGTTTTGAAGGGGGTGCAAGGGGCTAACTTGTAACAGGCATGCTACCTTATACACTTATACTTCTAAATGGTATGTTACCTGATGCATTTATACTTGTAACGGGTAGGTTACTTTATATATTTCAACTCGTAACTGGTGGGTTACTTTATATATTTCAACTTGTGACAGGTAAGATACTTAATACATTTATACTTGTAACAGGTAAGTTACCTAAACATTTATACCTTTATACTTGTAATAGGTAGGTTACCTCATGCATTTATACCTGTAACAGGTAGGTTACCTGACACATTTATACTTGTAATAGGTAGGTTATCTAAATCATTTATAGTTGTAGCAGGTAGGTTACTTAATATATTTATACATGTAACAGGTAGGTTATCTAAACATTTATAGTTGTAGCAGAAAGGTTACCTAATATATCTAAACTTGTTACAGGTAGCTTACCTTATACATTTATACTTGTAACAGGAAGGTTACCTGATACATTTTAACGTGTAACAGGTAGGTTACCTGATATATATTTATACTTATAGCAAGTAGGTTACCTTTATATAATTATACTTGTAACCGGTAGGTTACCTGATACATTTATAGGTGAAATAGGTAGTTTACGTTATACATGGTAGGTGACCTCATACATTTATACTAGAATCAGACGAGCTACCTAACACATTTATATTTCTAACAGGTAGACTACCTAAAATATTAACACATGTTACAGATAAGCCACTTTTTACGTCAATACATTCATTTACATTTGGTAAGTAATATTTCATAAAATGCATCCGGCACGTACAATAACACACTCAACTATAATTTGAATTTCATTAATTTCACTTTACTTGTTGTGTTTTTTTATAATATTAATTCCTTCATACAGGCATTAATGGTTAAGATGATAAAAGACATATTGAAATTTTAAAAACTTCAGGCTTCATTTTCCTTTCAAAGTAGATTTGGTGTGTCCGAAATCAAAAGAATCTCAATATGAGAAATTCTATCAATAGTTAGGGAAATTGTTAACATTACCATGAAATCATATTCTTATAGATCATTGCTCAAGCGGTCTTTCGACACATCTAATGAACTGCATTAATTTTAATCCTTTTGAGTGTATTGTCTACTGGTACTAATTGCATAATATTAAATTTTAGTACTGACTTATATTGAAAGTGTGCTATTTATAACATATTAAATTTGAGGAAACATGTTTTATTAATATCGTTAGACCATGATAAGATTGTTCACGTTCCATTTAGTGTAATATGCATAATACAAACAATAACAAAGTTCAAATATTTCGTTTATTCACTAATATTTTATTTGAGTGTAAGACATTTTGAAATACAGATCAGTTCAATGTTTAGCATCCTCAAAATATCGGATGTTACATATTGAAATTCGTCGATCAAACCTCATAAAACCGTATGAAGTGTGCAATAGGGTACAAGTGAATTACACAAAAGAAAATGATCCTGTAGGTATATTCTCTACAACAGGAACCACCTCAATATAGTGAGTTTCAGTGATGTGATACAGGACCCATCCGTTTAATGTTCTCAATCAAACACGTCTTAGATCTATGTATGTTAATCTTTCTCGAAATTGTATTTTACTGAATATGAGACCAATGTTTTCACAGAATGGTGCTAAACAACAATTGATAATTGTTTGGTTAATTATTTTAAACATTGTGGTTATGAGCTTCCATATATTAAATATTGGTGTACAACACCAGACAACTTCAAATGTGATAACAGCGAATTCACAGCCCCAGTACAATGCTATGCAGAGACCACAGAGCAATGTCAAAAATCTGTAGCAGCAGTTCTTTCCACACGTGTAGCACGAAAAGCTGACACTCCATACACAGTCAAAGCTATGTGTCCCCCACGGCTCACCAATGACGTCATCAAACTCAACCTTAAGATAGAAAAATAATAAAATAAACACGTTAATAAGTAAACAATTAACGATAATAATAGTTGTCGATTTGTCATATCATATGTGCAGGAATGTGTCTCATTCGGGATAAGTGAATAATTGGGTGTGATACACATAAATAACCACCCCTGTTTCACAACGGGTTTGATAAACATATATGACCACAACCATATTGCAGGATTTGATATCGCATTGATAACCATACCCATATTACATTGTGTGATAACACATGAATTACCACACCCATATTACAGTGTGTGATAACACATGGATGACCACACCCATAATACAGGGTCTTATAACACGTGGATGATCACACCAATATAACAGGGATATGATACATATATAATGACCACACACAAATTACAGTGTGTGATAACACGTGGATGACTACACCCATATTACAGGGTGTGATAACACGTGGATGACCAAACCAATATTGCAGGGGTGTTAAACTATTGCGGGATCATACGATATAATAGGATATGATTTAACACGAATGACCACACCAATATTACAAGCCGTGATCACAGCAATTTTACAGCAGCTGGGTGGCAAATGTCAGCCTGACATGGTATTCTCGGGTTGGTATGAGGCTTGATATGAAAACATCGACATGATTACACAAATTCAAAAGAGGTCTTTCAGTCGTTTAGTCCGAATCAGCACTTTCATAGAAGGATGATTTAAATAATTTAAGAATTGATAACTACAGATAATTTTTAAACATTGCTTACCTTTATGTGTTTGTTGATCTCCATGAAGTCTCGGTTATCTAAGTCAACCCCCTCGTAACGATGAGACGCCATCTTGAAACAATAGTTGATTTCCCAAATATTGTCGTCTGTGATTGATTATAGGACAATGTTAGGATTTTATTATAGAGCTATTCATCTCCTACATACGTTCGACTAGTTGAGTGTCTATACAATAAGAAGTTTATCTTGAAACAAACTAGTAAAGTCGTGTGGACAATCTAAGTTCATGCGTAAAATGGTGTGGTTTTTATTTTCACTGACAACGTTAAGTAAACATTTGGTTCTAATTGGGTTTACCTTTCTCATTCAGAGAGCTTTGGCCTAGAATTTCATACCACGCTTGATCTTATCACATATATATTTATACATTCCTTCTGTGTTTTTATTATTTGTAAATTGTAACACGTTTTTTAACAATCGTGATGATGCCATAGTACCTGATACTGTTTTAAAACATAACAATGCCTTTCCCTACGATACAGATACTTAAACTTGAACTATCTTAATAACCTTTATGTTTACGGCGCTGACAGGAACTCGCCGCCTCACCTCAGCTTAAAAATACTTTATTCGTGACTTTTAAGAAATAAAAAAATCAAACCTTCGTTTACGCAAGCAAATTAATTCCTCTTCAGGAATTTCCTTTGATGACTGAAAACGATATCAGATCTCGATAATATGGTTAATCAAACTGTCATTACCACTTTTAATTAATAGTCTATCTCTACCATCATTCTTTCTTATATTGATACATTGTAACGACTAGCATTTGAACAATGTTGGCACTTTGATGTATATCTTATTAATACATGTCCTCCTATTTAGTTTCATTACGACTAATATGATCTTTTGCGTGTGTATATATTTAACACTAAATAAGCTTTTTCATACTTTCATTGCTCACCTTAGATTCAACAGATTGATATACAGTGTATACGCAAATGAAATAATTTTCTTCATTCTCCAGAAAGATTGATCGTTATGTCTACAGATGTATCCTCGAGACTACTAACAATCATACATTAGTATTGTATAAGAATGGCTTGCATTCAATATCCACATATTTCAAATACCTTTTTTTTTACAGAAATTATTCATGAAAAAGTGAAATATTTTCGGACACATATATCAAAATCAATACAATTACTTATATACATAATTTACCTTAGTGTTGCGGTATTACATTTTATGACATGTCATTATGCACTGGTGACGTCCATTTCAAGTCGATCACGACATTTTCCATACGTCTCAAGAAGGTGTTCCTCAAACACTATATGTATGTACATCTGATAAGTCGTACATTCAAAGTATGGTTCGCTTTTTGATGAGGAAATATTTGTTGTGTTCACAATTATATTTTAAAAACAAATTACCAAGTATCAATGTCAACTTTATATCTTTTCATCATGCATTTATCTAATGAATACTTGTATCAAGCATTTAATTAATTATTATAATCATTAGCGGTTGGACGTTTAAGTTTCAGCTTAAAGGTTGGTGAATTATATTTTTTGGCGTTAAAAGTAAACGCAGTTTTTGAACTATTTGACACTTTTTTTTAATCGTAATTGTTTTTTTATTTTTAGACTACTTCTCGAATTGGAGTTCCTCTTTATATGTTTGCACTTTTGAACAACGTTATTTACTTTCAGTCTTCTTTATCATATTAACTCTACGTGGCTACCAAATATGCAAAATATGTCTGTATGTTGAAGTAGTAATTTGTTATTGTTAATTGTCTCCCCGACATTTTTTTTTAGAATGTGTTGAATGACTTTGTTTAGATGAACTTGAAGTATTTATGCAGATTGACGTGACAAATGTGTTTTTTAAATAACAACACACTATTTTGTAACATACTGAGACTATGAGTCTGTGTCAATTGCCTTTTTTTGACACTGTGGAGAGATAATGCACAACAGCGTTCTTCTTTATTTTCTTCACAATTTTTGTGTGTTATTGTTACTAAGTTAATCATTGTGCCTATAGATATCGATATTGCTTATTAGCATATTTCTGGTATAAAAAAATCAAATGTGTATTATCACTTATAGATCACAATACATGCATATGACATATCGCAAATTTTATAAGTTATCTCGGTCGATGGAATTTACATCATTTTTGATTTACGTTGTATCTGTGTTTATATGTAGTTTTGCTGGCGGTTTAAAAGAATTAAACACAAGTTTGATTTAAAAATTGTTTAAGTTGTATGCCATGCTATGATTTTTTTGTAATGGCAAATGTGCTTGCCAATCAATAATAAACAAGTTATTTGCATTATCATCACCAATGAACGTGCCAAATTACAATTGAAATTAAATCAGAAGAAAATATACTGTAAACATACATATTTTAGAGGTATTCTGATTTTCGCAAATTTCGCGCTCTAGATATTGCGCTTAATTATGATTTCGCAATTTAAGTTTCTGTTTATAATTTCTTATTGTATATGTTATGAGTGTGCCAATTTATCAATGCGCTTTTATGTTTAACTTTGATAATACACTAAAAATTGAGTCCGTTAAAATAAGTAAGTTTACAGTATACTACGATTCAATCCCCAAGTACAAATTCTAGACTGAAAATCGATACGCAATGATAAAGGGAATTGACGCTTCTGAAAAATGATGGTATTACATGAACCACCTGCAAAGCATGACACAAAATGTTTGTTCTAGTGCGCTTGAAATTAAATCTAACATGACAGGAAATACTAGCATTTTTATTCTAAAATTAGATTAACATGTATTCCAGCATTGTCATTTCAAACAGACTTATATTTGCAGAAGACACGATCCTCAAGTAAATATTACTTCCGGTCGTTTTATCTTCATTACTCCTCAATCACTGCAGTATCATAATGTAAATTGGCATACTAGTTATTGTCGTTAACAAACGATGTATCTCATGAATATTTCTAATAACTATTACATTTCTAATATTTTAAATGTTCTAAATAGACTCGTTTGATGAGACTAACAATTAGTTCAATACACATCTTTAGCATACCATAGCATGTTTTAATCATCATTTGTTCATCGTACTGTAGTTTCCTGTAATTATGCAGCCATGTTTCATGTGTACCGAGTCTAGCTATTAATTTTTACTGACAAAAAAATAAATACAATGATTAAACAAAAATGCTGAAATGGAATCGACGAGAAATACACTGTTAGTGTCGAAAACCAATGGCAAATTTGGAACAACGGTTAGAAGAAGGTCGAGATGGTTTCGCTGCAAATATTCTAGGCTAGGCGACTTGGCCCTGTCGGTCTTGAGTTCGAGGCTCGGACAGGGCACGAGTCCTAGTTCTTTCGTCACTTAAGTTGTGTTTCTGTGCTTAAAATAATGTTTTATATACAAAGGTGTATTCGAAGGTCAAATGTAAGAGCTACCTGTTGAATATGTCTTATGTCTGATATTAGACACTATATATTTAAGTAATTCCGAACACTCGTCCGGCAGAAGTGGTTTTGTTATTTTCAGTACAAAAATAGTTTAAAATGTGTAAAGAAGTCCCATTACGAATGTGAGTTGGATAGGCCGACGAAATAATATCCAACAACAATGGCTGTCAATGACCCTTACCGCTGCCTTCATCAGACGGTAACAATTAAGACCACTGATTAACGTAGTATATTTTCTCGTGTTTTTATTTTTGGTTAAAAATAAGAAAAGAAAAGAAAGATTTGCGTTTTGTGCGATGACAGATTGATATGTCTGTAGTGTAACTATTAGAAGCATACATTGCTTTGTGCAGACTGTGTAGTCACCTCAAAAAGTGAAAACATATATCAACAAAACTGACGCGAAAGTAAACTCATAAAAATGTGGTTTATTTCTGTAAGCTGGACATATAGAATCAAATGCATGATGTTGGAACTTATCAATTACATAATCAAATGTCACAGAAGCACACTGTGTTTTATATTCGGTAATATACGACCAGAAATAATCTCATTTGGACTGTTCTTGATATCTTCTTCCAAGCCAGAAATGTAACTATCAGCAACACTGTGCTCAGTTCGAACAAGGAAGTACCATGTGAATAGTGTATCTTCGTTCCGTTTCTTCTCTAACCATTCTTAACGTTAATGTTACTGAAGAACATTCCAAAAGTCTGACAAATAGGAGCCAAACAACAGTTGATACAAACGGCGAAGAACTTCTGCTGGAGTCCCATAGAAATCGTGTAGACTTTCAGTAACGGCGTGTAGCACCACACCATCTCAAACGTGATCACTGCGAACTCACATCCCCAGAATAGCGCCATGCACAAACCACATAATGTGCTCAGAAACTTATAGCAACAGTTTTTTCCTCCATTGAAACACACGTAACTGTACTTCCAGATAAAATCAAAGCTGTGTGTACCATCTGGTTCAGCAAGAACGTCTTCGAAGTTCGTCTGAAATTAAATTTGATCACTGTGAATATTCTTTTGATAAAGACAGTGACATTTTCGCTGTGGAAAAAAGGTATCATGGTGAAACTGATGTCAACATTTTCTAATTTCAGAACAAAATTGCAAGATGTTATGTTTTTTAAACAACTATACGTGATGTTTTACCCAATCAGTAAAAAAGTAGGATGACGCATCGAAAGATTTTATAAAATAAAGTATTCATCCAACTTAGTGAAATATACCAGCGATGTTTGGTTAAATATATAGCCATAGTTATACCAAGTAAAAAAAGAATGAAAAAACCCCCAAAATCATATATTTTACTGTAACTTTGTCTTGTTAGATACCATACTAACCGCTGATTTTCTGATTTTGTTTTATTAGGTTTCATAGCAACTATTGCTTGGTTTTATAAACTTCAGCTTTGTTGTGTGAGCTGTAACGTCATGTGTGAGCTTCCAACCCAGCTTTAGCTCTTTTCACACTGAGCTATCATTGCTCATGTAAATTCGTAAATTTCATTAATTGGCAAAAATAATTACTTCAAAAGGGATACTCTACCATTTGCTATTAATACGTGTTCTGAGGCTGTATCCTTTGTTTGAACCATCATCAATTGTTTGGTTGCGCATATAGCACACTGTAAACTAGGACAACACTACGTATAGGGTTATAAAGATGAATGTCTAATATAAAGTGGATACTTATTACTAATCATTTTTAATTACGATTTCGATTTTTAGTGGATATGTACATAGTCTAGGCTTTTCTTCCATTGAGCTAAAAATCTAAAAGTAAATAATGGACTAGGGGCGTTGAAGGTAATTTACGGCCACATTGGGGATTTGGAATTTGTTGTTATATTCGTAATTTGGAGTAAATATGAGATATCAAACTCATTCGACAACCAGTTTAAGAGAAATGGCATTACAAAGAGACACAAAACCCCATCATTTTCATAATAAAATGCGTGAATATCGTCTTTTTTGCGTTATTTAGTTGAAAATTGACCATTTTGAAGGAAATTAACTAAACACTTTTAAATTTTTGAAAGACCTCCGTATGCAATAAACAAATTGATATTTGACATGCTTAAACATTTTCATACCAGTGTTCATTCGTAGAAAGGAAATTTTGTTTGTCACATGCGGAGGCTTTACTTTCTGCATGCTTACTGTCCAAAAAACACCATAGTTTGGCTATTTCTGCATAGCAACGCAATTTCGTTGCTATGATAGGGCATCTACGCATGCGCATTGGAAAACATATACAACCAAGAAAGATAGCCCCAATTAACTAATATGATGTTTATAACAGAAATTGGTAAATACATTTATGTTGAAATTTTAATTTCTTTATGAGGCCAAAAATGACCCATAACGCCCCAAGTCCTTTGCTCAATTTAAACTAATTGATGATCACGTTTATCTGATGTAAACGCTTTCTATTCACTTGATATTTTATTGCCCTGAGCTTATATAGTTTTCAATCAGATATATGTTTTGCGTTAATTCCGGACTCTTCCTTAGTGGTACATTTTATTAGAAATTAACAAATATACATTTTAGCTCGGTGATAAATGGAAGTTTGAATAAAACCATACATGCCAAGTTGTTATAATTGCAATATGCGGTAAAGACAGAAATAAATTGGCACAACTTACTTGTATAGCAGCATTAATCTCATTCGGGTCCCTTTTTACCACATCAACAATCATTTCTTGTTCTGCCATGGTGAGTTAATCCTCAGAACTGTTTTCTTAGACTGGCTATTGTTGCTATATTTCTTCCCCATTTTATACTTTTGCCATGGCTACCAATGTTCATGGTTTGAGGATGTGAACAGAGGTTTTATTCTATAACTTATGTGTACCCAACCCCAACGCCCTGTATCAATACACTGGGGTACACAAACTAATCGAGAACAATGAAGTATTGTTATCAATGCATCGATATCGCGTAAACACATAGCTTTCTCAAGGAAATTTGTATATGATGCATTTGCCATAAATTGAATGTTTAATGCACAAAAGTGTGTATTGATGTCGAAAAAAATGAAACCGTGCACAATGATGTATTTACGAATTAGTTTGTAAGGTTTTAAATAACGTTTATTGTGTGAGTTATGTACAATTAAAGACAGATCGATGTTAAATGATAGGGTAAATATGCTTTATATGAAAATACGTGATCAAATTACATGTGCGTGCTAGGTGAATGATGAATGCTACAAAGGAACAATGAACAGTGCTAAGTAGTACAAAGTAAAACGGAAAACAATGAAACTTAAGCTTTAAAGTACTTCATCAGTTTCAAATTAGTTAAATGATTTTGAGATTCGATTAATAGCACATTGATGATGTGATTTACCACAGTTTCCATCGCAAGGAGGTAACTCACCTGTACAGAAGGGCAGACTAGAAAACAGTTCAGATACAGGAAGTAGCGCAATTCATATATTCAGAATATCAGTCGGTAGGCCAACTCCCTGTACTGATGTTACTTCACCCATGCATGGTATCAGCTTACAATCAATGTGGTGTTTGACATTACCTGACTGAGCTTACCTTTAATGGTCTTTTCAATACATGTTCATATAGAAGAGATAACAAAGACATATTTTGTTCTGTTTTAAATACCTGTTTTTCACAAGAATACACACAATCTCTCACCAAAGAGGAGCTTTTTTCAAGGCTTAGTCATTCGAGAATGAATCTTACCGTAAAATTAAAATAATCAGGTATATTTAAAATTTTACTTCATTCAATCGTACTAATTGTGACGTCACAATTAATTCCGGATCAACACATGTAGCTTGTCTCCGCCAAAACAGTTGTCAGAGAAATCATTTACATCGAGAAAAGGATGCATAGCTGTAGTTTCTTAAAGTTGTCAAAAGAATTGTTTTTTCGTTTTCATTGTTATCAGATTATATACATGTAGATTTCGATTTGTGTGTAAGACTTGTCGTCAAAGATAAGCATTTTCGATAAAACATTTTAGAGGATATACCGTATTTTATGATTGAGGCTGTTGTGTGGGATTAGGTATTTTTGTGATTTATGTAAACAAACTTGAAGGTAGGATTATGATTATAAACACAGGTGTGCTATTGTTCTGTTTAACATTGTTGGACTTTTTCTCTTTCATATCTATTGTACCCAAGCGGCACGCTTCGTCGTGTAATTTAGTGGCGGATCTCGTATGATAGGTTTGCGGTGGTATTCATTGTGACAGGTCGTTACACCTATTGGTTGTATTGTAATCGTCGCATCGTCGTGCAGTCATTGGCAGGTGTTTTTTTTATTATTATTTATTATATATAATTAGGGTACCTACTTAAATATAGGCGGAGACGAATGAGAAAAAAACATAGATGATGTAAAACATAGATAATGTAAAAATGCAAATTATGGCTTCTGAATACCATTAAAGCTACCTATAGAGTTCATTAATTGACAATATGACTTGCTTAAACAAGTCATAATATAAACCGATCACTTTTGATGTCCCGGATGGAAGCGCGCAGTGGGTTCTTACTATGACCAGAAACCAAAGTACTACGCTGTGGGCTGTTTATCCAAGTCCGATCGGAAGTCAAACTTCGGCTTCTTTTTGAAAAGCGAGTGCGCTATCCACTGCGCCATCCGACGAGGCGGACCTCGTCATCCTGTGCTACACATTTCATTGTGCAACACAACTTGTATTGGAATCACTCTTTTTCAAAATGTGAGTGTACAGATCAATGTATACTTTGTTTTTTAATTTAGTCCATCAAACCTGGATTATTTTGTTTTATTAATGATTTTGATTTTAAAACATTTTCTTAGTGAGACATGTCCATCACAACTATCGATACTTAAAAATCAATAATATGCATACGACATCACGATATTCTGAGACCTGGGTCCGGTTGTTTAAATGATGATCAGCTTAACATGCCGTAACTCAAATTTTCAAAATGTGATATTTTTGAACTGTCTCAAAAATTACAAACTGTGTCAGTTATCATGGGATGACCATTTGAATACTTATACATACAAGTTAAGTGTGAATTTAAGTTGTCGTTAGCTAATGAGGCTTTGAACCCTTGACGTTTTAGTTGTTTATATTAATCAACATCTTTATTTCGACACAACACCAAACAATTTTCATCTATATTAACTTTTTATATCGGGAAAAGGTACCAGTATAATTATAAGACTCTTTCATGCTTAGGGATATAGGGTAGGGAAATTCCACCCGAGGGGTTTTCAAATTTGGTAAAACCGGAGGCTTTGCCAAATTTGAAAATCCCGAGGGTGGAATTTCCCTTTCCAACACCCTTGGTCATGAAAGTGTATTTTTCTTTTATTCCAAATACCAGAATAAGCTCAGAAACCATGAAAATGCGTTTTGACTGATTACCATTTTGAAAATATCAACTTTACCCCTAAGCCTTTTTAGACGAAAACGCATTAAGAATCTCATTATTCGTGACTTCACGTCATCGTTGAGCCATTGTGACGTCACGTCACGTGAAATGGGGTGTAATATAAAAATGTCCTTCACTCCTTTTTCACCCTTGACAGCTATATCTTGCAAACTCAAAACAGAGAGAAATTTCTATATTGATTAAATTCAGGAAATGTCATTACTTAAATGTTGACGTTATATTGTTAATGATTATTTGTATGTACTGTAAAGCGCTCTAGGGCAGCTCATTCTAGCTAGTAAGGGCGCTATATCAATGGTTGTATATTATTATTTATTAATAATACATCTGAAGTCAGTTCAACTATGATTCGTTGTTAGTATGATACTGTTTTGACAATTGTTTAGTTGATCAAGATCCTACAATTAACTCTCAGGTGGTAGGAAGTTGATCTTGTTTGATTTGCGAGTAACCAATAGTTACTGTTATTCTAGATGGCACATATTCACCACACGTGTTTTGTTCTTATTTACATTTTAAATGCTCTAAATTATTTAAACATTGTTTGAATATTTGTTTCCTTAGATAATACCATTGTGTTAAAATACAATGTCAATTTTGTAACATAATATTGCATATCGAAAATGATCATAAACGTCGAAAGCAACATACCTCACCCTTACCAATGTAATGATTTGTTTGTCTACAATGCAAGTGCATCAGTGTAATAGGTTCATTGTGTCTGTTCATATATATATTACGTAATTGCTCAAACCAATATAAATAAATGTTCCAATTGAAATGAACACCGCTGTGTATATTTCATTTGATGATTACAGATACTTATACTATGTTTACGCATTCCAATGATGAATTTTTCCTTTTTATATCAGCAACTTAAAAAATAACTTCACAGTTTAAGATGTGAAATTGAACTAAGCACAACTATAATAATTCATACCGGAATATTAATGTAAAGGAAATAACGTGTTTAATCACAAAAACGTCTCCAACATTTTGTAACATCTTTTCCTATGAGGAAATTGTTCTTTAGAAGATATTAATAACTTATAAAGAGAATATTTAACACATATTAAGAAATGATGAAAAATTTATTGAACATTGTAAAGTGAGGTACATTTGCACATTTTAAGTAGAAATAAATAAATAAATTGAGCAAAATATGTACTATATCACAGATCTCAAGAATTTTTACTGACAGTCATTCGATTACTGTCCTCCGTAAAAGGATATCCCATGTCCTCTAGGTGTAAAATCCGATGATGTCTTCGTTTAAGTTTAAATGACACGGATATTCTATAATGATGAACATCTTAGAGGTAGAAAGCGTTCAGATGACTTTGGAATCTCGACGATTTGGAGGGTCGTGTCAGCACAGTTTTAATATAATTTTTAGAATCATTTCTTTGTTATAGTAATGTTACTGAAACATAATCCCATGGTTTCACAGAGAGGAGCAAGGCAGCACTGGATACATGATCCGAAGAAACGTTGGCAAATGCCGAGCATGATGGTATGGACTTTGAGAGAGGGTGTACAGCACCACACCATCTGAAACGTGATCATGGCGAACTCGCATCCCCAGTAAAGCGCGATACAAATACCACACAGCGTACTCATGAACTTGTAGCAACAATTCTTTCCACAATTGAAACATGAGTAGCTGTTTTTCCAGACACAGTCGATACTATGTGTCGTATCTGGTTCTCCCAAAACATCTTCAAAGGCAACCTATTAAAACAACGAATTAAATAAAAATTAAATGTGATATAAATAGAAAGGACATCCTAACAATGCACAAATTCGTGTGTTTTCGTATCCCCTGGTGCAAGTCATTTACTTTTTGTATCTTCTTTAACAACAAAGAAAGAACAAGTTTTATCAACTTAAATTAATCGTTCTTGTGGTATGGTATTAAGCAGTTCACTAGTATGTGTCCCTAGCATTTCCAAATGCAAATCAACACCACTCTTTAAACCACTGTAAAACTTTAAACCATTCCATAAAGATTGCCATAGGAAGATAAATACAGGATATTCAGTTGATTATCACATATATAGTTTTCGATTATAGCAAAATACTTAATTTTTTCATGAGTGAAAATATCGGTTTATTCTGCCAAATGATTGAAACATATATATATATATATATATATACTAATAATAAACGCAAAAAAAATTAAATGTCTATATTAATACCATTTTTAAACTACCTACAACGACGAAAATGTAATTGTATCAAAATATTTTGAGACATGACTGCGCTACTTTGCCGCCATGTTCTAATGACGTCATGCTTGACAACAAGGTTGCATGTAGTTGTGAAAGAGCCACTCGACAAAATTCTACAGTTTCGTGTTATTATTTGATGAGATTTATATAATAAATGGTTAAAGTTATAAAGGTAAATTAATTCCTTCGTAAGTCTAACTAAGAAGTATAAAAAACAACTATTTATTTTACCATCATTTCATCTGTATCTGAACAGAAAATCTGCAGTATTGAATGAAGTGAATTGAAAGTGCCGTTCTGATTAGTGAGTTTGTATAGGTGATATATTCACACTGTAAAAATATCACTTTTAATATAACTCCTGGATAAAAGATATCGTTTTGATCAAGTGATAGAATTCGATATTCATCCGCCAAAAATGTAATGATATTTACTTTTAGTAGTATACATTTAATTAAACCAAATCATAACAAATGATACATACCTGTATAGATGAATTAAGAGAGTTGATATCTCTGTTCTCCAGATCGACTGGGGATTGTTCCTCCATGGCTGGATATACTGTCGTCTTATCCGCACAGATAAAGAGAATGACTACAAGTAATGAACAATGAAAAAAGAATCGAATTTATACGGCTGTGTTGTGTATACTCCGATTACTTGACAACTGTCTCTATAAATCTGAATGGATGAATTGAAAGGGGGAGGGTCCTAAAGTTTCAATGGAATCCAAGGGAAACGCCATTATGCTATGTCTTTAAAAACAGGAATTTAGTGCTCCTGACTGTTACCAACTCGCTGTATGTGAAAAATGCATATGTGTGTTTTTAAACTATAGATCAATGACACTCTACCAAACTCGGTCTATATATTTAAAAGCAATTAAATATGGACGTTTTCCTACACTCACTTTCTACTCTCTGATGTGTTTTGATATATAAAAGAATGTTCGAAACAAACGTAAATAGACGTCCATATTGTTAACAATGTCTTAAACGTCATGTGCGTGAAATTACGATTTCTATTTTTTTTAAAATTAAATTTGAGCTAATGACAATGATAGCCAATGATAGACACAGGTCGTGGTTTATAAGAATAATTTGTCAATTCTTTAGAATTGGATACTGTATCATGCTAACTAAAGTATTACTACTAGTATAGTCGATACACATTATAAGAATGTATAAAATTAGTGTTAAATTCAATGCAGTACACGTATAGTATAGTATAATACATTGCGGTTCATGTATGTTGTAGTGAATACAATATGGTTCAGGTTTCTATAGAATATTTCATTGTGTTAAAGTATTTTAAAGTATTAAACAATATGGTACATGTATCTTATAGAATAATGAGATGCGCTTTAATGTACTTTATGGTATAATACACTATACTACATGCAATTTCAATCAATGATTGACAGTTATACTACATTCTGGGTAAATACGGTAGATTATCATCTTGCAATAATACATTGTTTTATTTTAATACATTAAATACAGGCATCAAACCAGAATACGGTAATTCAAATAAACGATTATTATGACCAGTAAACAGGAAATTATAAAAACTGAAAGTTGGTAATGTGGCAACATGCTAATGTCATCGTATTTTCTGATTTTAATGCATTTATTAGTATATATTTATTCTGAAGCATTGTAATAGGTTAACCTATTAGTCGGTCCTGTATATGTGAAATATGTATACTTGTTAGCCGGTTCTGTATCAGTGTAATGGGTTAACTTGTTAGCCGGTTATGTATTAGTTTATTCGATGTATTTCTTAACCGGTCCTCTTTCATTCCCCCATTTTTGCATTGTACATAATAGGCATAGTTTCAAACATTATCACTCTTTTTACGTTCGTTGATTTTCACCCTTCCATCCCGATTTATGATTTCATTTGAACACAATTCGTCGAAAGAAAATGTCATTTTACAAATACTGATACTAGACCTTTCATTCATTTGAAAACTGTGTTAATGCGTAACACTTAGTGATGCAACGCCTTGCAACTAAAATATATGTATTTTTGATCTACAAATGTATTGATGCTGGGCCTGACAAAGCTTTTCTTCAAATATTCAACGATTAATAACAATGGTCAATAGTAGTATGTAACACCATAGAAATAAATGATACTGTATAGCGGGTACCTTTCGCTCAGTCAAACATTCGCCAGGTGTATATTTCGCCTTTCATATGAATTTAATATAAATGGTATGATGTAGTCTAATATTAGCTCTCATGATAAATTCACCCTTATTACGGAGGGCGAAAAAGGCGAAAATTAAACTGTGGCGAAAATTGTCCGGTACACAGTATGTGCATTTCACTGTCAACGTTCTAAAATATTACTTTCTTTGTTTCTTTGTTTTTATATATTGTTTGGTTTAGTGTGTATTTGTTTTACGTCCTATTAATACATGTAGCTAGAGTCATTTAAGGACGTTCCAGGTTTTGGTGGTGGACGAAAGCCGGAGTTCCCGGTGAAAAACCACCGACCTACGGTCAATACCTAGCAACTGCCCTACGTACAAAATGTAGGCATCGAACCCGCGATCTAGTGGCAGAAGGTTAGTGGTAGCAGATTGTCAGATTGCCAGCGCGGCTATGTAGAAGCGCTCTGTTGTCAATTAAGTATTTGTTTGTCTTTTTTTCACACAAGAGCCTTTTTATCTTATTTCAAAAAATTTAAGAATGTTTTTATATATTAAATTCACTGAAAAAACTAACCCTACACAACACTTGTTTTGTATATCTTTTTAATTGTCACCTTGGTAAAATACATGTTGCTTACTACCGACTCGGCCTGGGAGAATTTCTCTATAGCTCATTCGGTAGACTGGTAAACAAGAGGTCCTTTTTTCGAATCCATTGAAAAAATAATGACCTCTGTTAATAATATTTCTAGGTGGAATAACACATGCGTTGCGACTGTAAGCAAACAGCATTCCATTTGCTTTAGACCAAATAAACGTCTTGTTGATGAAATAAGCATGTCTTGAAAAACATGCACTATAATTTTCGAAATAGTGGAAGGGAAGTAAGTAATTGTATATTGTTATCAAAACATATTGTTTCATATGCTAGCTTAAAGATTTTAATTCTAAATACATATAATATTCGTTTGCTTTGATATAGAACCGTGCACTACTATTGTCCTCACAACATAGGCATAGTACGAGTAATCCACTGATGGTCACCATAGCAACAACCTAAACAACTAATGCAACGTCTCGAAGTTTGAAGGGGACTTACGGGATTTGGTGTCCGATTCTCGCAGACACCTTTGTCTTCATTCAATAGTATTTGAATTTCATATATTACCCAGGGAGAGCGTGTTTGTTATGATAATGGCGACAAAAATGTATTCATGCAAGTATTACACAGAGAACAAATTCACAAAATAAATAAATATATAAACAAATATTTTATTGTAAAAGAAATGCAGCAATGTCTTTAGAATATTAACAGATGATTTATAAATAGTTCATTGAATATTTCCCAGAAGTATCAAGTGTTTGTAAAAACATGATTGACTCAATTGCAGATCCCTGTCGAAATCAGTCAGTATCACAGTCTTTTGATTGCCATATAGCACAAAGTAGGTTGATTAGTCTATCGAGTTACTAAACTCATGAAACAACGTCTCCTCACTTTTTATTAATAGTGATATTACTGAAACATAATCCCATGGTTTCACAGAGAGGAGCAAGGCAGCACTGGATACATGATCCGAAGAAACGTTGGCAAATGCCGAGCATGATGGTATGGACCTTGAGAGAGGGTGTACAGCACCACACCATCTGAAACGTGATCATGGCGAACTCGCATCCCCAGTAAAGCGCGATACAAATACCACACAGCGTACTCATGAACTTGTAGCAACAATTCTTTCCACAATTGAAACATGAGTAGCTGTTTTTCCAGACACAGTCGATACTATGTGTCGTATCTGGTTCTCCCAAAACATCTTCAAAGGCAACCTATTAAAACAACGAATTAAATAAAAATTAAATGTGATATAAATAGAAAGGACATCCTAACAATGCACAAATTCGTGTGTTTTCGTATCCCCTGGTGCAAGTCATTTACTTTTTGTATCTTCTTTAACAACAAAGAAAGAACAAGTTTTATCAACTTAAATTAATCGTTCTTGTGGTATGGTATTAAGCAGTTCACTAGTATGTGTCCCTAGCATTTCCAAATGCAAATCAACACCACTCTTTAAACCACTGTAAAACTTTAAACCATTCCATAAAGATTGCCATAGGAAGATAAATACAGGATATTCAGTTGATTATCACATATATAGTTTTCGATTATAGCAAAATACTTAATTTTTTCATGAGTGAAAATATCGGTTTATTCTGCCAAATGATTGAAACATATATATATATATATATATATATACTAATAATAAACGCAAAAAAATTAAATGTCTATATTAATACCATTTTTAAACTACCTACAACGACGAAAATGTAATTGTATCAAAATATTTTGAGACATGACTGCGCTACTTTGCCGCCATGTTCTAATGACGTCATGCTTGACAACAAGGTTGCATGTAGTTGTGAAAGAGCCACTCGACAAAATTCTACAGTTTCGTGTTATTATTTGATGAGATTTATATAATAAATGGTTAAAGTTATAAAGGTAAATTAATTCCTTCGTAAGTCTAACTAAGAAGTATAAAAAACAACTATTTATTTTACCATCATTTCATCTGTATCTGAACAGAAAATCTGCAGTATTGAATGAAGTGAATTGAAAGTGCCGTTCTGATTAGTGAGTTTGTATAGGTGATATATTCACACTTTTAATATAACTCCTGGATAAAAGATATCGTTTTGATCAAGTGATAGAATTCGATATTCATCCGCCAAAAATGTAATGATATTTACTTTTAGTAGTATACATTTAATTAAACCAAATCATAACAAATGATACATACCTGTATAGATGAATTAAGAGAGTTGATATCTCTGTTCTCCAGATCGACTGGGGATTGTTCCTCCATGGCTGGATATACTGTCGTCTTATCCGCACAGATAAAGAGAATGACTACAAGTAATGAACAATGAAAAAAGAATCGAATTTATACGGCTGTGTTGTGTATACTCCGATTACTTGACAACTGTCTCTATAAATCTGAATGGATGATTTGAAAGGGGGAGGGTCCTAAAGTTTCAATGGAATCCAAGGGAAACGCCATTATGCTATGTCTTTAAAAACAGGAATTTAGTGCTCCTGACTGTTACCAACTCGCTGTATGTGAAAAATGCATATGTGTGTTTTTAAACTATAGATCAATGACACTCTACCAAACTCGGTCTATATATTTAAAAGCAATTAAATATGGACGTTTTCCTACACTCACTTTCTACTCTCTGATGTGTTTTGATATATAAAAGAATGTTCGAAACAAACGTAAATAGACGTCCATATTGTTAACAATGTCTTAAACGTCATGTGCGTGAAATTACGATTTCTATTTTTTTTAAAATTAAATTTGAGCTAATGACAATGATAGCCAATGATAGACACAGGTCGTGGTTTATAAGAATAATTTGTCAATTCTTTAGAATTGGATACTGTATCATGCTAACTAAAGTATTACTACTAGTATAGTCGATACACATTATAAGAATGTATAAAATTAGTGTTAAATTCAATGCAGTACACGTATAGTATAGTATAATACATTGCGGTTCATGTATGTTGTAGTGAATACAATATGGTTCAGGTTTCTATAGAATATTTCATTGTGTTAAAGTATTTTAAAGTATTAAACAATATGGTACATGTATCTTATAGAATAATGAGATGCGCTTTAATGTACTTTATGGTATAATACACTATACTACATGCAATTTCAATCAATGATTGACAGTTATACTACATTCTGGGTAAATACGGTAGATTATCATCTTGCAATAATACATTGTTTTATTTTAATACATTAAATACAGGCATCAAACCAGAATACGGTAATTCAAATAAACGATTATTATGACCAGTAAACAGGAAATTATAAAAACTGAAAGTTGGTAATGTGGCAACATGCTAATGTCATCGTATTTTCTGATTTTAATGCATTTATTAGTATATATTTATTCTGAAGCATTGTAATAGGTTAACCTATTAGTCGGTCCTGTATATGTGAAATATGTATACTTGTTAGCCGGTTCTGTATCAGTGTAATGGGTTAACTTGTTAGCCGGTTATGTATTAGTTTATTCGATGTATTTCTTAACCGGTCCTCTTTCATTCCCCCATTTTTGCATTGTACATAATAGGCATAGTTTCAAACATTATCACTCTTTTTACGTTCGTTGATTTTCACCCTTCCATCCCGATTTATGATTTCATTTGAACACAATTCGTCGAAAGAAAATGTCATTTTACAAATACTGATACTAGACCTTTCATTCATTTGAAAACTGTGTTAATGCGTAACACTTAGTGATGCAACGCCTTGCAACTAAAATATATGTATTTTTGATCTACAAATGTATTGATGCTGGGCCTGACAAAGCTTTTCTTCAAATATTCAACGATTAATAACAATGGTCAATAGTAGTATGTAACACCATAGAAATAAATGATACTGTATAGCGGGTACCTTTCGCTCAGTCAAACATTCGCCAGGTGTATATTTCGCCTTTCATATGAATTTAATATAAATGGTATGATGTAGTCTAATATTAGCTCTCATGATAAATTCACCCTTATTACGGAGGGCGAAAAAGGCGAAAATTAAACTGTGGCGAAAATTGTCCGGTACACAGTATGTGCATTTCACTGTCAACGTTCTAAAATATTACTTTCTTTGTTTCTTTGTTTTTATATATTGTTTGGTTTAGTGTGTATTTGTTTTACGTCCTATTAATACATGTAGCTAGAGTCATTTAAGGACGTTCCAGGTTTTGGTGGTGGACGAAAGCCGGAGTTCCCGGTGAAAAACCACCGACCTACGGTCAATACCTAGCAACTGCCCTACGTACAAAATGTAGGCATCGAACCCGCGATCTAGTGGCAGAAGGTTAGTGGTAGCAGATTGTCAGATTGCCAGCGCGGCTATGTAGAAGCGCTCTGTTGTCAATTAAGTATTTGTTTGTCTTTTTTTCACACAAGAGCCTTTTTATCTTATTTCAAAAAATTTAAGAATGTTTTTATATATTAAATTCACTGAAAAAACTAACCCTACACAACACTTGTTTTGTATATCTTTTTAATTGTCACCTTGGTAAAATACATGTTGCTTACTACCGACTCGGCCTGGGAGAATTTCTCTATAGCTCATTCGGTAGACTGGTAAACAAGAGGTCCTTTTTTCGAATCCATTGAAAAAATAATGACCTCTGTTAATAATATTTCTAGGTGGAATAACACATGCGTTGCGACTGTAAGCAAACAGCATTCCATTTGCTTTAGACCAAATAAACGTCTTGTTGATGAAATAAGCATGTCTTGAAAAACATGCACTATAATTTTCGAAATAGTGGAAGGGAAGTAAGTAATTGTATATTGTTATCAAAACATATTGTTTCATATGCTAGCTTAAAGATTTTAATTCTAAATACATATAATATTCGTTTGCTTTGATATAGAACCGTGCACTACTATTGTCCTCACAACATAGGCATAGTACGAGTAATCCACTGATGGTCACCATAGCAACAACCTAAACAACTAATGCAACGTCTCGAAGTTTGAAGGGGACTTACGGGATTTGGTGTCCGATTCTCGCAGACACCTTTGTCTTCATTCAATAGTATTTGAATTTCATATATTACCCAGGGAGAGCGTGTTTGTTATGATAATGGCGACAAAAATGTATTCATGCAAGTATTACACAGAGAACAAATTCACAAAATAAATAAATATATAAACAAATATTTTATTGTAAAAGAAATGCAGCAATGTCTTTAGAATATTAACAGATGATTTATAAATAGTTCATTGAATATTTCCCAGAAGTATCAAGTGTTTGTAAAAACATGATTGACTCAATTGCAGATCCCTGTCGAAATCAGTCAGTATCACAGTCTTTTGATTGCCATATAGCACAAAGTAGGTTGATTAGTCTATCGAGTTACTAAACTCATGAAACAACGTCTCCTCACTTTTTATTAATAGTGATATTACTGAAACATAATCCCATGGTTTCACAGAGAGGAGCAAGGCAGCACTGGATACATGATCCGAAGAAACGTTGGCAAATGCCGAGCATGATGGTATGGACCTTGAGAGAGGGTGTACAGCACCACACCATCTGAAACGTGATCATGGCGAACTCGCATCCCCAGTAAAGCGCGATACAAATGCCACACAGCGTACTCATGAACTTGTAGCAACAATTCTTTCCACAATTGAAGCAAGAGTAGCTGTTTTTCCAGACACAGTCGATACTATGTGCCGTATCTGGTTCTCCCAGGACATCTTCAAAGACAACCTATCAAAATAACGAATAAAATAAAATTAAGATGTGATATAATGTATGTATGTGCAATATAATGCGTAATAATGTATTTCTTATACATCTATAGTTTACTTTATGTTGCATAATGAATATCGACTGCAATATTAAAAGATGAAAATTTAAAGTTTTCATTGTTGCTAGGGAATTATTCAAACTTCAAGCAACTTAAGAATTATTGCACTATTGAAATTTGAGCAATTTGTGACATGTTCGCTAATAATATATAGAGCGTTTCTATATACGTTCATGAATATAATCGTTGGTTATTACTTAATTTCGAATCCGTGTGGTGATAACCACTATAACAAAACCTAAGAGGAGAAAGTTTTAGTTTCGTTGTGTTGCCTACCAAGCTCAGGACGACACTCAATGACTATCAATATAACACTTAAACCAATAAATCGACAAATTAATATTGATAAAATTAAAAATCAAGAATCTGTCAAGAAGCCATAAATATTTTTTCCTATGAAATTTGTCTATTAAGAAAATGTTTCATAACATTTTCCCTTATTGATGTACAGTCACGAATAAGTACCTGCACATGACCGTTGAGGGAGTTGGGGTCCCTGCTTTCCAAGTCAACCTCTTTATCCTGCTCCGACATGTTGTTGTGTTTGTTGGAAAAACTGAGGTGAACAAGACAAGCGTTATATTGTGAGTGGTCGAAATTGTCCTGCGTTTGGATTTTATACCTATCAGTTTTTTGTCGATTGATAATTGCTTGACAACTGTCAGACTGACGAAAGGGGAGGGTCATTTTTTGTTAAAAACCGGGCGTCATTGGTAACGACCTAACGAAAGCCTTCTGTAGACATAGCCTTACCTTTTGTCTCCTACAGGAAAGCCTAACATGAGTTTTAAGCTTTGTTGGTCTGTATGAATGAAATTGTTAAAACCCTTTTATTTACGGGCTGACAACAAAGAATGATATCGATTAGTCCGATGTAACTGCAGATACGTTTGATCAACCATTCAAACGATTGTTTGTCCTACGTTTATGTTTTGTGAGAACTTTAACATGTAACTATTGAAATTCCCATGATAGATAACAATTAGCAAATGTACGTTTTTTTCTTTTATCAAGGTCGTCGTTTCAATTCACATTCTTCGTTTTAGCAATATATTTGTTTGTTTTTTTATTTCCATATTTTAAAACACAATATAATCATGTTAAGGAGGAGTGTGTATGATAGTGTGCGTTTGTGTCATACGTGTTTGTGATTTCGTTTGAACACAGATGATTGCGGTACGGAAATTGATATCTGAAGTCCACGTATAATTGTTGTAATATGTATTTATGTGTAACATGTGAGGAGATCAACTTGTAACCATTGACTGTTTGTAATCCTTGTGAAAAATAAAGAATTATTAATAATCAATTTTTCGAAAATTTGAAAAATGATATAACAGCACAGTTGACATGCTGCTTGAAATGTTAAAACTTGCGTGAAAATCTCACAAGAACGAAATTGATCTCAGATGTTTACAAATGTTTACCATATTTGACCTCATGCTGTAGAGTTGATTATAACCACTAAGAGCGACACCTAACTGAAGTAACACTTTTCGTATCGAGTTACTGACTTGAAGATCCTACATATAACACAAATCGGTAGCATTGTTAGCTTCACGACGATTTAAATGGAATTAAATACCAGAAATCAAATGCATATACTCTATAACCCTAACCAAACATTAAACATAATCTATATACCTTTTTTATTTAAACAAACTTAAATATGTATTTTTGTGGACAGAACTGTGTCACTTGTGTTTTTTTTGTAAACTGGCTCTGCATGGTATAGAAACTAAAAACGAACAAGCCGAACTAAATCTGTCTGCTCTCATTGTGCGATGTACTTCAAATATGGTATCATAGATTTTAAACCGACAAAGCTTAGATCTATTTTGAACTTTGTATTGCTCCAGATCACGGAATGAACACATTTAAACCCGTGTCATAAATCATTGCATCAAATATGTATTTATGTCTATTATAGATATTTAGCGTTTCAAAAATTCACTAAAACATAAAATTGGTTCCATTATTAAAACACGTCCGCTATTCATTGATTAGATGTCCTAACAGCATTAAGTGATATTGCAAGGCACTTTATCTAGAGGAAGGTAACCGTGCCGTATTTAGGTTTATCAAATAAATATCCTGATATCAGTGTTATCATACATAATTGCATAAACTGTGTCATGAACGCACGTGGAAAAGGTTGTTGTCATAAATATTTGCAAGAATTTCTTTGCTGTGTTGTGTGATGAACATAATCTTACATGTGTTTATTCCTATATCATTTGAAAACAACTCATCCCGAACATATATTTTAACTTGCCAAAAGCTTGCTTTTAATGAGAAATTCCCAATTCGTTTCCTAAATTATTTTATGAAATGCGAATCTTCTATGTATATCTTGTTTCCTAGGAAGATCTATCATGCATTGATTGATGATATATGTCGCATAGCTAAAATCTTCATCTGGTTCAAAAATGAATTTAGCATACCTATGTTAAATAGTCGTTTTTGTAATGCATAAATAAATCCTAAATCTTGGTGTTGGGATGTTATGTTTGCAGATAAATATTTCGATATATATTTACATGATAATAAATCACTGACAACTACATTGTGTCACACATTGAAAAACAAACAGGTTTACAATAAATAAACGGTAGATTTCACAAACATTTTGTTTATTGCGGTTTGGAAAGGAGCACATCGGCGATCATTAGATTCGGCATAAACCGGAAGTCAATAATATTCCAATCTTATGGTGTGTAGCGTGTAATAGTTCAAATAATTTACACCTTACAAATCGGCATATATTGCTCTATAAGGCACTTTCAAGATTCACTTAATTCGTATTAAAACTATCTTCTCATTCATCATTTGGTCAAATTGGCCAAAAAACTTGTCGAAGTCGTAAGCATACCAAATCAAACAAAGTATGTATGCTTAGCGCATCTAATGTAAAACATTTGTGATTCGTAGTCTGGTTTTTACTTTATCTGCAAGAAGGTGCAACCCGCCTCGTCTTCATCCGTTCTTCCAGCATCAACTAGTCTTTAAAAAACTTCTTCCTTTCAAGACAACTACACTTAAAAATTAGGCCAGTAGCATGATTGAATGATGGAACTTGACACACTTTAAAAGTCACAATGATCAATTGAGCTAAAATATTTGAAAGAATTATTCTGAATTACCAAGAGGCTTATGGTCATAATATTTATCTAGAAGTATGTTGTAATGAAGTGCTACCAAGTTTGTTTAAAAAAATCTTGATCGTCTTTTGGGGTTTCAGAGGTTTATATATTTTTAAAACTTTGACCAACTTCGTCTGAATACTCCAGAGGCTCAAGGTCATGATATAATAGCCAGTAGTATATTGACTAAAGGTTATAAAGTTTATTCAAACTGAGTCACCTTCATTACGATTAACGTTTATATGTTTAATAAAAATTAAAACATTTCCTCAGAGGTTTATATGGCGTAGAAAAATAATAGCTTGCCTATATACAGCTAGCTTGCTTGAAATCGAGTACGTTAATATGTATTTCAACTAGTCTAATTTGAAGGTCACTGATATGAGATGTACTTTGCAAACAGCATTGAATAACAGGTGAACGATACAGGTCCGATGGACCTCTTGTTTATATTATATGCCCAGGCATGATGACTACAGAGAACCATGGCTTACAGTCCCGGAAACTACGTACTATATTTCTAAACAATCGAACGATACAGATTTAGTTAGCTAAAAATTAAAATTTCAGAAGAAAATCGAAGATCTGTTTCATATCCGTTTTCGGATATTAGAGAATTTATTCGAAAATATATTTGAAATATTATGTGAGCTTTGCTCAGGATAAAATAACGTAACTTAAAAGTCTACGTGTAATTACAAGGTAGACGATAAAATATGAACAAACTTATTTTGAGCCAGCAGAGGGCATGTAATTGCTGTGATAGCATTGTTATAACATGATTTGCTGTCATATGACATTTAAATGACATTTGTGATTTAAGAAAATCAATACTACGCTCCTTTGCTTTGCCGCGGTGGCCAAGTGGTAAAGGCGTCTGATATTCTGCTACCACTAGCCCTTCACCACTGGGTCGTGTGTTCGAGATCTATGTGGGGCAGTGGCAAGGAACTAGCCACAGGTCGGTGTTTTTTCTCCGGGAACTACGGCTTCCCTCCTCAACTACGAAAACCTGACACGTCCTGAAGTGATCATATCTGTTAATAGCATGTAAAATTCAAACAAACCAAACCAAATTGACGTAAAGTCGCTTTATAACTCTCACTTCATCAAATATGATGATTTGCATGCTGACTAGCGTGTAAATGTGACCCTAGTTATGTGTTAATTGTTAGACCATCTGCATCAAGAAATCAACTACAGTGACATAAGATATTAAAATTCAAGAAAGAGAAAACAAAACATTGATAACACAATGTAGTATAGTTTATTCTGGTGTAAAAACAACAATAAGTAAATCATGCAATTGACTACCAACGTGTGTTGCCTTTATATTACTCCAAACTTGGAATTGAAAACATGCATTCTCGTTCACAAACATTTATCATTGTTTGTCACTATGACTTCCTTTAAGACACATGCGGACCATGTACGCAAGAGCACACAGGAAACGCTTTTCGTTACTAGAGCTTGTTATCCTGTATCAGCCGTCACGATCACTGCGGTCGGAGTCATTGTTGCGTGTCCCAAAATCTCGTACATTGACCTATCGAAACAAGTGCTTTGGGAGGGTTTCGACCACGTTGTGGAATAGCTTACCATCTCCTATTAGAAAGTCAAATACCCAGGCCAAATTAAAGAAGGACATCAAAACTCACTTGTTCACGTCTGTACCTAAGGCTGTTTGCAAAGACGTCATGTAAATACCAACCTATATTTATTCATTTATATGCATATTGCGATGATTATTTGCTTCCTTAATGTAGTAAAGTGATTTTAAGCCTTTGTTTTTGCTTAACAATTATTACTTATATTCATATGTTGTAAAGCGCTTTAGAGTAAATTTACAAATTATAAAGGGCGCTATATAAATATTGTATATTATCATTATTATTATTAATGTACGTACAATCGTTGTTTATTTCACCATATCAATAATAATGTTCTTCTAATGAATGAAGTCCAGCTGATGTGATGGTATAACCTTCTCCAGCATGGAAAATAAAATATAAATTAAAAAGTTTAGATATTTTATCACTTGTCAATTGTTTTCACATCTTTTTCATTGAGATATTACTCAAGCATAATCCACATGTTTCACAGATTGGAGCAAGACAGCAGCTGATGAGAATACCGAAGAACCGCTGATTAATTCCCATAATTATTGAGTAGGCCTTGAGAGCTGGTGTAAAGCACCACACTGCCTCAAAGGTGATCAAGGCGAACTCACAGCCCCAGGCAACAGCGATGCAGAGGCCACACAAAGTACTGACAAATTTGTAGCAGCAGTTCTTTGAGCAGGTGAAGCACGTGTGAGCGGTGGTCCACACACAGTCAATACTATGTGTACCGTCCGGCTCTCCCAACACATCGTGAAAGGCTACCTGTTAAAGAAAATCGTATTTTAGTTTGAATATCTTCGTTATTGAGCATTTTTTTAATTTATAAAACAAAAGACATCAAACATTCAATTTAAAAAAACAAAACGATATGGGAACAATAGATTGATAGTACACTTAAATATTCCGCAATTCTTCTTTCACCGCACATACTAAGAAATAGCAGAATATGTTTATGAATTCTTTCATAGCTTTTAATATGCAATATTTACTTTACGTAGGCTTAGACAAGCAGTAACTTCATCAAAGTGACCATTCAGTAAAAAGTACATATTCAATTATTTCAATACTTTGTCTTGTAGGCCTGACACAGTTTGTCAGCCTACCTCTACAATAGAATGCAGGCGATTGTAAACATTTTAGATTTCACAGTTGTTCGACGGTTAATATATCTAGTATTATCAAAGTTGCTCGCTGTTTACATATAACGTTTGACGTGCTGCGACTGTTTTGGCTGTTTTGGCTTTGTAGCTCAAAACAAATAATGATAAGCATTCCAAAAAACGAACCTGCACAAGATCATTAAGGGAGTTAGGATCCCTTGCCATCAAGTCAACTCCTTCCATTTTTTTGGTACGCAACAGATCTGGACACAAACGTGTTAATGATCGTATTCCATGTAGCTAATTTTAAAACAAAGATTTGCTAACACGTGAAGGGAACTTAGCAACTGTTCAATACACCAAAACATAGATAATCTTGTTAATGTCTACCAGAATAGATCATTTTTCGATAAATCAATCTAGACTACAATCAACGTTTATTGTAACGCATTAACTGTGTCAGCCCATTATTTTCGTATTGATAAGAATCGTTACATTCTTTAAATATGTGTATATAAGTAACATATTGTTCTATATTACTCCACTCATTCGGGTGTCAATCATGTCTTGTCCACTACAACGTGTCATTTAAATATTGCCTCAATGAGTTTTAGAGTTAGGCGATACGTATTCAGATGTGTAATCTGAAATATTCATTCTAAACCTACCACTATTTCGTCGCTCACAATAGATGTAATTAAGCGGTAAATAAAAGACTTAAGTTAACAAGATAATTGAAACAGTAAGTTCTATATCGTTTTAACGAAAAACGCAAAAATAATACTACCGCAAATTCAAAGCTGTATACAGCATCTATATAAAGTCTAGGATCATGAACGCAACCCAGTTCGTTTGGCCTCAGTTTTGTAAACAAACGTATACCGAGAACTTTCGCCTTTTTTTCGTGTTCGGTAATGAGGGCGAATTTATCATGAAAGTGAATATTTGTGCACTGCGTACTATTCAATGCCATTAAATGTGAAGGGCAAAATGAATTCAGGGCGAACATCGTTTTCAACAGGTTTCCCGGTGTACCATATCTAATTGTCGATAGAAGTGACGTCACACTACTAGGGATAATATATAAGAAACGCGTATGAAACAAGGATCTGCTTGTGTAACCGTATGAAGCTTAATTTTTAAACGGTATTACAGATAATGATAAAATACTTTCCAATCCTAAAATTATAAATTTAAATATATTGGTGATGACTTTCTTTTCTCATTCATGTATCCTTAATGGCCATATTTAAATATACTATAGACTGCATATCATGCTATTCACCTATAATATGGGAATATTAGTCATCCCAGTGCCAACATATATGACAAACGAAACGCATTTATTTCCAAAAAGATAACTTGCCTCATCAGCTGTATATCGCCCTTACTTGCTCATCAATTTATAAAATCATGGAGAATTCACTTTACTGCAAATTGCTTAAGATATCAGTATAATTTCTTTGTAGAAGCGCTCTGTTATCAATCAAGTTTTTTTTGTGGGTTTTTTAACACAAGAGCCTTTTTATCTAATTTGTAGAATTTTTAACAAGGTTTTTATATATTGCATTCACTGAATAAAATAATCCCTCCACAACTCTTGACGTGTTTTGTATACCTATAAGAGGTACTGTTTTTTCTCGGGACACGGACGGTTTGTCTTACACTATACCGATGTTTGGAGTTATCGGACTTCTCAACTGTACCTCCTTTAGTCATGCTGATGTATTTTATCCTTTTCCAATTATATATAACAATATTCTGTCTAGATATAACAGTATTGTTCTAATTCAATTAACCTTACCTATTTTGTTAATTTCCCTTTACAATTGGACATATTTGTATCGCCAAATCATTTATGTGTTACTCAGGAAGACATGTGTACACTTACCCACCTGACTGACATATCGAATATCATGTCTTTTTTCGTTTTCTTCTCCCCTTAATCACGTGCAATACGTAATTACAATACTAATGAAGATGGTAAATAGATGAAGGGAAAATGTTTGTTTTTAAATAAGATAATAAACAAATGGTTGAAAAATATTTAGATAGCATCTAGGTTAACATCGATTATCGTAAATAAAATGACAGAAATGTCTATTAATTGATCCCATCTGAACCTGGCAATCCGATCATTTTAATTGTCACCGTGGTAAAATATTATCCGCTTCTTAACGACATGGCTAGGAAGAAATTATCTTTGGCGCATTCGGTTGAGTGTGCGACCACTAATCCAGAGGTCCTGCCTTTGACTCCTAGCGAAGGCATTGAAAAAATAATTACCTCTGTTCATAATATTTCTAGGTGGAATACCGTCGTTAGCTACCTACTTGTCACTTGATTTAGGCAAAACCGTCTTTGTTGATGAAATAAGCATGTCTTGAAAAACATACACTATACATTTTCAAAATAACAAAAAAAGGAAGAAAGTATTGGTATTTATTATTATCCAAATCTATTGTTTCATATATTAACTTCAGTATTTTAAGCCTAAAAACATATAATATCCGGTTGTTTTTTTATGGAATCGTGTACTATCATTGTCCTCACAACATAGGCACATTATGCGTAATCCATTGATGGTCAATACAGCAGCAACCTGAACAATTTATGCAACGTCTCGAATTATGAAAAAAAAGTTTCGAGATTTGGTGTCCGATTTTTGCAGACAACTTTGTTTTCATTTAATATTATTTGAATTCCAAATATTACCCAGTGAGAGAGTGTATGTGTTGACAAACATATGTTCATGTAAGTATACAAGGAAAACAAATTAACAACATATATAAATATATATTTCTTCATTTTGGGCGGATTTTTACAACCCCACTATGGCTAAAGGTCATAATTAGATAATTAGAAAAACAGTGTGTATTGATGTACACTTTGTAATCTAGGTTATGTAAGTTAACCTGTGATCAAATGTACGTCATGTAATAATTGGTCATTAAATGTCACCTTCGGTGGCCATTTTTAACTTCAATTTGCTGTTGGGTTATCTTTGAGTTGAAGGAGCATATCAATATATAAACAAATATTTTATTGTAAATGCAGCAATAACTATATAGCACAAAGTAAGTTGATTAGTTTATCGAATTACTAAATTCATTAAACAACGCCCCTCACTTTTATTAATAGTAATATTACTGAAACATAATCCCATGGTTTCACAGAGAGGAGCCAGGCAGCACCGGATACATGATCCGAAGAAACGTTGGCAAATCCCGAGAAGGATGGTGTGGACTTTGAGAGAGGGTGTACAGCACCACACCATCTCGAACGTGATCATGCCGAACTCACACCACCAGTAAAGCGCGATACAAATGCCACACAAGTACTCATGAACTTGTAGCACTAGTTCTTTCCACACGTGAAGCAAGAATAGCTGTGTTGCCAGATAAGTCAATACTATGTGTCCCTTCTGGTTCTCCCAAAACATCTTCAAAGGCAACCTATCCAAACAAAAAAATTAAGAGCTAACTATTAAAACAAATTCTACCATTTTGTGCTATTGTTTGATAAGTTTGATTACATGATAAATAAGACATAGTAAAATGTAAATTGGTGTCTAATAAATCTAGCTAAGATGTATCCAAAACAACTACTTAGTCTACCTTCGTTTTATTTTTATCTGCAATTTCGAATGAAGTGAATAGAAAGTGCCGTTCTGATAAATGAATCCCATAAATGTTTTTTTCATACTGTAAAATATCATTTTTGATATCTGTTATAGAGCAAAATATCTCATTTTTATCAAGTGATAAAGTTCGATATTTGTCTGGCGAAAATGTAATAATATTCACTTTAAGGAATATTCATTTAATTGAACCAAATCATAACAAATAATACATACCTCTAACCTCTATAGAAAATTTGAGCGAGTTAGGATCTCTGTTCATCAGGTCGAATGTATAACCATCCATGGCTAGATTAACTAAATTAATATATTTAAACAAAGGAATTTAGTGCCCCTGACTGTTACCAACTCGTTGTGTCTGTGAAAAATACATATGTGTATATTTTGTAGTATAAAATACTTAGCATAACTCACAACAATGTGGTCCAGGTTTCTATAGAAATATACACTGTGCTAAATGCATTGTATAGTATAAAACAATATGGTACTTGTATTTTATAGTATAATGTGATGCTTATATGTACTTTATGGTACAATTCACTATTATACAAAAAGGTATATGCAAAGATTTGTTATCATCTTGTAGAAATATATTGTTTATTTTAATACATTAAATACAACCACCAAAATATAATAGGTAATTGAAATTAACATTTATTGAGACCAGTAAGCAGACATTAATAAAATGTGAAAGATATTACTATGGCAACATGCTCATGTCAGCATATTTCCTATGTATATTAAATGTATTTATGTATCGTAATCAGTGTACAGATGTACTGTTTAACCTATCATGTATCAGTGTAATATATATATTTGTTAGCCGGTCCTATATCAGTGTAATAGGTATACTTGAGAGCCGGTTCTGTATCAGTGTAATGGGTTAAAATGTTAGCAGGTTCTGTATCAATGAAATATGTTTAATTGTTTAGCCAGTTCGGTATCAGTGTTAACGTGTTAGCCAGTTCTGTATCAGTGTAATAGGTGTAATAACTTGTTAGTCGGTTCTGTATCAGTGTAATCGGTTTACTTGTTAGCCGGTTCTGTATCAGTGTAATAGGTATACGTGTTAGCCGGTCCTATATCAGTGTAATAGGTATACTTGATAGCCAGTTCTGTATCAATGAAATATGTTTAATTGTTTAGCCAGTTCGGTATCAGTGTTAACGTGTTAGCCAGTTCTGTATCAGTGTAATAGGTATACGTTTTAGTTGGTTCTGTATCAGTGTAATAGGTTAACTTGTTAGCCGGTTCGGTATCAGTGTAATGGGTTAACGTGTTAGCCAGTTCTGTATCAGTGTAATAGGTATACGTTTTAGTTGGTTCTGTATCAGTGTAAAAGGTTTACTTGTTAGCCGGTTCGGTATCAGTTTAATGGGTTAACGTGTTAGCCAGTTCAGTATCAGCTTAATCGGTTTACTTGTTAGTCGGTTCTGTATCAATCTAATAGGTATACTTGTTAGTCGGTTCTGTATCAGTGTAAAAGGTTTACTTGTTAGCCGGTTCGGTATCAGTGTAAAAGGTTAACGTTTTAGTTGGTTCTGTATCAGTGTAATGGGTTTAATTGTTTAGCCGGTTTGGTATCAGTGTAATAGGTTAACGTGTTAGCCAATTCTGTATCAGTGTAAAAGGTTTACTTGTTAGCCGGTTCGGTATCAGTTTAATGGGTTAACGTGTTAGCCAGTTCTGTATCAGCGTAATAGGTATACTTGTTAGTCGGTTCTGTATCAGTGTAAAAGGTTTACGTGTTAGCCGATTCGGTATCAGTGTAAAAGGTTAACGTGTTAGCCAGTTCTGTATCAGTGTAATAGGTATACGTTTTAGTCGGTTCTGTATCAGTGTAATAGGTTTACTTGTTAGCCGGTTCTGTATCAGTGTAATAGGTAAACTTGTTAGCCGATCCTACATCAGTGTAATCGGTTTACTTGGAAGCCGGTTCTGCATCAGTGTATTAGGTTAACGTGTTAGCCGGTTCGGTATCAGTGTAATAGGTGTAATTACTTGTTAGTCGGTTCTGTATCAGTGTAATAGGTATACTTGTTACCCGGTTCTGTATCAGTGTAATAGGTAAACTTGTTAGCTAAACCTATATCAGTGTAATCGGTTTACTTGGAAGCCGGTTCTGCATCAGTGTATTAGGTTAACGTGTTAGCCGGTTCGGTATCAGTGTAATAGGTGTAATTACCTGTTCGCCGGTTCTGTATCAGTGTAATAGGTATACATGTTAGCCGGTTTGGTATCAGTGTAATAGGTTTACTTGTTAGCCGGTTCTGTATCTTTGTAATATGTTAACTTGTTAGCTGGTTCGGTATCAGTGTAATAGGTGTAATTACTTGATAGCCGGTTCTGTATAAGGGTAATAGGTTAACTTGTTAGCCGGTTCTGTATCTTTGTAATATGTTAACTTGTTCGCTGGTTCGGTATCAGTGCAATAGGTGTAATTACGTGTTAGCCGGTTCTGTATAAGGGTAATAGGTTAATTTGTTAGCCGGTTCTGTATCTTTGTAATAGGTTAACGTGTTTGCTGTTCGGTATCAGTGTAATAGGTGTAATTACTTGTTAAACGGTTCGGTATCAGTGTAATAGGTATACTTGTTAGCCGGTTTTGAATCAGTGTATTAGGTATACTTATTAGACGAGTCTATATCAGTGTAATAGGTTCACTTATTAGATGCTTCTGTATCGACCGGGGCTTATTGATATAATATGCCTAGCTTATTTTACAGCATATTTAAAAACAAACAAAGAAAGAAATAAGCACAACATATAAATTATTTAACATTTTAATTTAGCCTGCTGGTGACCGACACTTTTTACAGTTAAGCATCTAGACATTCCATTATACGGTATGTTATGAACGTCCGTGTGATTACGATTCTAGATTTGTTCCTGATATGCACAAAGCATGTTTCAGCTTATCGAAGTCATGCAGCTATCAAGACAAGTCATCTAGAAGTCACTGCATTTTCATAAGATATCCTCTCACCTTCAAGTATATGAAAACGTAACATTTATCGATCAGTTTAGATATCTCATCGATTGTCAATTGTTTTCACATCTTTTTCATTGAAATATTACTGAAGCATAATCCAAATGTTTCACAGATTGGAGCAAGACAGCAGCTGATGAGAATACCGAAGCACCGCTGATTAATTCCCATAATTATTGAGTAGGCCTTGAGAGCTGGTGTAAAGCACCACACTGCCTCAAAGGTGATCAGGGCGAACTCACAACCCCAGGCAACAGCGATGCAGAGGCCACACAAAGTACTGACAAACTTGTAGCAGCAGTTCTTTGAGCAGGTGAAGCACGTGTGAGAGGAGGTCCACAAACAGTCGATACTATGGGTACCGTCTGGCTCGCCCAACACATCGTGAAAGGCAACCTGTTAAAGGAAGTCACTACTATTATATATATGATCAGCATACATTGCAGAATTCATTTCTTTGTATTAAGTGCATAACTCAAGATTTACATTATCGATAAACAAGTTAATCGCTAGTGATAATCAACATTGCTTACTACTATAGAAATAATGAACTGCATTCTGTTACAATATATTTAATACGTCAGAACGGGAATGTAAAGATCAAACGTTTCACAATATACTTGATTTTTGATATAATGTAATAGAGTTTAAGACAGATTCACACATAAACAAAATAAGAATTTTAAATTATAACTTTGGTGAGAATTTAATGTTGCAGAAATAGTGTTAAATATTTCGCTAAGAACCATATTGAATACCACATGAAATAATTAAAATAATATAAGCATATAAAGTATATTAAGGTAATAGGATTGTGTCACCATTTCTCGTTAGAATTTCTTCAAATTTTGTAGTTATATTGCTTTAAAGTAAAGAAAATTTTCTGCCGAAAAAAAAATATAGGTTCTCAGAATTTTAAGGATTTTAAATGGAAATTTATGTAGAGAGGAGTGAATTTTGAAAAAAAAAATGAAAGACACAATATTTTTACAAAATAATGTCAATAAAAATGATACTGACAAATATTAGTATTGCATTAATGTATATCAATTTAATGAATGCTGAAATTGTGTAAAATTAATTCTCTATACACGATATACAAATTGACATTTTATGATAAAACCATATACACATAGTAATTGCAGGTAAGAGTTATCGTTCTTGAAAACCTTCACAGTAGTGAAATAGGTAGCCGGTTTCCTGAAGTACAGAAAAAATGGACACATGTGACTCATTGAAAAAAACCCTGAATTGATGCCTGGATTGCTTTGAAATACTTTAATATTGAGAGAACACACTGTTCTGTCAATAATAAACATACAATATCCATCAGTTTAATATTAAACATTGGAATTTGCGGAAATTGTGATACTGTCTCCCTACATTGGATTTTCAACTAGGGATGTACTTCCTGTTTCCGTTTATCGATACACTCCAATGACCTTAATAACATCACACGGTCATCGCAAAGTCATCTTAACAAATGTCGATGCATTGTTTATTTATAATTACACTAAAGGGTTGAGACTGATCAATTATCTTTCTTACATCCTTACATTATCCTTTTTGAAATGTTAAATTGCACATTTAAACAGGTAACACTATGTAAGAAGCACGGATAAATGATAAAAAAATCTGTAGGAACTGACTTTAAATAGAAACATAAAAAAAATGAAGATGATTGCTTCACATTTTCCTTAGATGACGCTTTGCCTATCAAATAAGAACAAACATTCATTTACTCATTCCTATTGAGTTACTTAACTCCCCCTATCAATACCCCCAATTCCACTCAATCGCATTATCATACCTGACAACCGACTTATGTCAATAGGTATATGACAACAAGAAAGAAAAACAGAAAAAATGAAAAGCTAACCTGTATGTCCCCATGAAGGGAGTTTGGATCTCTGGCTGTCAAATCAAGACCTTCATTTTGCTGAGCCATTTTGACAAGAGTGCGATGTTGAACGTGCAACAGAAATGAACTAATGATCGTTTGCAGGTTTACAACGTCTTTAAATCATAGGATTACCCATTGCCAAGTACACAAAAACATATATATTTCCATTGAGAACAAGGTCGGTTAGAGTAAATCAATGTCAAATACCACCTATTGTTACACAGTCGTTGTATCTGATCTTTGTCTTAACCTTATATCTGGTATTGTTTTACGTAAACTCTGCATGGTTGTATCTGATTCAGGTTTAAATAGCATTTTGACTTGTCAAATTAGATACGTGTCTTCGATAATTGCTAAGTGAGTTCGTGATAAAACAAAAGAAACGAAGAACAATAACATTTAGTAGTCATGGAAGATAGTCCAATATATACAAGTATTGTTGAGGAGGAAGCACCTCACCGAAATGTCAGCTACTACCGCAGGAAGTAGACAAATGTACAGTGACACAGGATTTTACTGAAACCTTATTTTGTTGGCCAAAGATACTAATTTATATATATATTTTTATTATTCATTATATAATAAAATCTGGTTTTGAACACACGACAAAATTCCAAACAAAACCTCCTTTAGGACTTATTGTCGTTGACTGGGTTGCCTTGCAATGTAATCAAGAGTTTAATATTCCCTCTAGCAACAAGAGGCCCAGAGGGCCTGTATAGCTCACCTGGATATCTAAGCAATCATAGAAAAATATTCTCCAAATAAGATCCCAGGAAATGGAACAGACCGTCAGGCCAATCCTTGTAGCATATCTGTATTAGATTTTTTCATGCCCAACAATTATATGTATTGTTATGGGGTGGGGATCTCAACTGTTTCCAAGCTGTGACTCAGAAAGTCCCTAGGGTTGTGGCCAGACCCAGGGTCAATTCTTATATCATGACTGCATTCGTCTCTTTAGGCCCGGTAATTGTATATATAGTTTTGGGGTGGGGATCTCAACCGTTTTAAAGTTATAACCCAGGGGTTAAGTCTCCAATGGTGGGGCAGACATCGGGCCCTCCTGGAAGCATATGTGCATTCGTCTCTTTATACTCAGAAATTGGGTATATGGTTATTGGGTGGGGATCTCAACTGAGACCTGAGACTCAGAAACTACGTCCCTAGGGGTTTGGCCGAACCCCATGATCAATTTTTAATATCATATCTGCATTCATCTCTTTATGCCCAGCATTTGGATATATATTTTTGGGGTGAGGATTTCAAAGTTATGACCAAGAATTCAAGTTTACAACGGTGGGGAAGACTCTGGGGTCAATTATAATATTATGACTGCATTTGTCTCTTTATGCCCAGCAATTGTATATATAGTTTTTGGGGTGGGGATCTTAATTGTTTAAAAGTTACGACCCAGGGGTTAAGTCTTTAAGGGTGGGACAGACCCCGGAGCCATCCTGGAAGCATATGTGCACTCGTCACCGTCGGACGCCACGGTATGGCATAAGCTCACCTTAGTCCATCGGACCCGGTAAGTTAATAAATATGCTATTGACACAATACCAATATATTTTCTTGTTAATGGTTATCGTCTGTCTCTAATTAAAACCATTTTATTTTACACAAAAAAAAAAACTCATTCCAAAGCAATGGCAAAGAATGTTTATACCTTGTTATTTGTCGAAAATAAAGCTATATATTTACATTTGCATGGCATTGTCACTATATAGCCTCTTTAAAAACTGTGTCGTTGATGGGACTTTAATTACCATGCATCACGAGACACAATTCTTAGCGTATTAATACAACACTGATCGGAACTACAATTTCCAATATAAATAAACATGACGGCTGCTGACATATCGCTGGGCATTGTGAGATTTGACAATGTCATTGTAAATTAATTTGCAAAATAAAAAATAAAATGAAAAAACACTTTTATTACAACGAAAACAAGACCAAGGTCTGCAATATCGTACAAAATGCACATCGGTTGAAATCACCAATGCCGGCAATGGAAACAATTTTAACGCTCATGCAATTTATCAGAAATATCGTCTGTTACACTGCACTGATCAACAGGGGTTCGTTACAAATGTCTGAAATACACATATTCTATAGACCTACTGACACATATGTTACAGACCTACTGATATGAGTCACAGCACACATAAACATTTCAGACATTTGTAACGAACCTGTGCTCCGTCGCAAGATCACTCACTTCAAACGCTATCAGTTTCACGCGTCTCGCATCCACGGTTCCTCAGTTTCTGACGACATGTCAAATAACGATGCTGTTATAGAATCTACCGACTGTTGTCAGGTTCCCATACAATCAACAAATAAATTCACGCCTGGTTTCTTCACAAAATGAGCAAAGAGAAAAGTTCGAATTAACTTCCAAAAATAACTCCCTCGTGGAGGGCAAGGTCGGATTTACGGTGTTCACTGTATTTGTCCATGCGCGAAACAATTTCAAATCTAACTTTCAGCTCAGAGTTCTATTGATAAACTTAAATCACCCTATAGACATATCATACGCAATTGTATTGATACTGAATTGTGGAATAAAATTGAAATGGTTGTTAAAATTTCAAAGTACTACCGTGTTTGCCAATCAGCACGCGACAATACGCTGTTCAAACTATTGAACGAAATTGTGTGAACTGTCGATAAGGCGGGCATTTTTAATTTTGAATATAAATTAGAAGTTAAAAAAGAACATAAGATGCAGAGAAAACGTAAATATAAGTATTGAACTATGCATTATGTTGTTTGCTTGCAAAGCTGTGTCAGTCAAATAGATCATGAATACCATACAAAAACAGTTCAATGCTTAAATATCTTATTGCGTGATATTTTTGGGTCTGTATTTTATTCTTTGTGTGTGGTTGTGTGTGTGAGTGTGTGCTGGTATGAGTGTTTCCTGTCATATCCAAATTTCATTTCCGTCTTTTGTTCGATTCAGAACCTATCATTGATACTGAAAACGGAGCCTCTATTGACATTGAACAGTAACATGGTACTCTATTATAAGTAATGCAACTAGGAGTATATGGCACCGAAAATTTCTCAATGATTCAGCGGCAAAGATTAAAACAATTTATGTGTTTTATCTTTATCTTGAAATACCTGAATTGAAGTCTACCATATGACGAAACCCTTGGTGACCAATATGTTTCCTAAATTGTGCACGAGACATCATGAACGATGACACATGTGGTGCAGATACGCTTAATCCAACTAATCACCTTAAAATCCGAGTTCTCATGTTTCCCGGGTTTTTTTCTCGAATCCCTTAAGATCCTTTTATTCATTTTTTGTATCTACGTCGATTGCATCGATTTCCATTTTTCTATTTTACTTAGAAAACATATTTGATGTGAAAGGTATTAATCAAGAGACCTTATCAAGAAACATTCATTTTTAAGGAAGACAAATCTAATCCCTTACAATTATATAAAAAAAAAAGATACACAAATTAATCTTATATCAAGGAGTTTTGTATTTGTTAAACAAAGTATTCTAATGTGGTCTAAGGTCAGCAGTTCACACTATTAATATAGAAGTTAGGCACCTAAGGAATTCCTAGTATTACTATGTCCATCCCAGCTCTTCAACTCATAACTACTTAAAGTAGAACACAACTATCAAGGCAAAGACACAGAAGGATCAAATTTAAACTCAAATGTAATACGACAAGACACTAAAAAGACACTAAACAACAACGAAGATATCAATAAGCAGGGTTTTCTATTTGACGAACGTTCTAGCCTTTATTTATCTGATAGTTTACGCTATCGACAAAGTCTTACTGATAGTACAAACCAGCCGTTTCGTCATAAAAGAATCGTATAAGCTAAATTATGATATATATTGTTAATACTAAGTATGAATGATTATATTTTGATATTTACGTTGAAATTGAGACAGCCATTATCGAACTTCTTGTTTTGCAATAACGCATGTGTTTCGTTGTTTTCCTAACAAACACTTAACTCCATCTGATATTTTCGAAGCACTATAAACAAATATTAAGCTACGGTCATAGTGCAAGACATCACGTTGCGTAGGTAGACGTCTGGACTATTACAAACTTTTCTCACTTTCATTGACGAAAATGATTCTTGAAATTTTACATTTGCATTGTGTCATTCCATGTCCATTCATATTGTGATTTTAGTGCATTGTTTTGCGAAGCTCTGGCGAATGTCCCATATATCAGAAAAAAAAGCTCTTTTGAATTGAGAACAAAATTTTCTGAAAAACGCCTATCAAGAATCTGAAACAATTTACTTCCTGGGTATTTCAAATGCTTGGGAACATGTCCTTAATTTTAGGCACAAAAGCCCGTTGACCTCCGATCCCCATGATTGACTCTACATTAAAATAGTTAATGGATTATCCGTCTGTTTCCAATTAAAACCCGTTTATCTTACAAAAAACACTTTCCAAAGCAATGGCAAAGACTGTTTGGACCATAGTTACATTGTCAACAAAGTGTAACGTTATGATCACGTGACATAACAACATTCTATGGCGTCATTTGTTTTGCAGCTGATACTATTAACCATGATGTAGTGCAGATATCATCATAATTTTGAATGGAATGTATGGGGGAAAATGTATGCTATGTTTTTTTCTTGTCAGTAATGATGAGCACACATTTTGGTAGCCAATGTTTGTTTATCTGTATTAGTGTATGGCATAATAAAAAATAAGCGGATAAAGTAATACAACGAATCAAACAAAACTATGTATCACATGTCGCTTATATCATAGCATCACCCTGTGTACGGAGCGAACAAGTGGACGTGTACGTTCGGAAACGAAAGATTTCGGCGAACGATATGATTGTGTGTAACATTATGATTGTGTGTAACATTATGATTGTGTGTAACATTATAATTGTGTGTAACATTGTGATTGTGTGTAACAATATGATTGTGTGTAACAATATGACTGTGTGTAACAATATGATTGTGTGTAACAATATGACTGTGTGTAACAATATGATTGTGTGTAACAATATGACTGTGTGTAACAATATGATTGTGTGTAACATTACGATTGTGTGTAACACTATGATTGTGTGTAACAATATGATTGTGTGTAACAATATGACTGTGTGTAACAATATGATTGTGTGTAACAATATGACTGTGTTTAACATTATGATTGTGTGTAACATTATGATTGTGTGTTACATTAAGATTGTGTGTAACAATATGATTGTGTGTAACAATATGTCTGTGTGTAACATTATGATTGTGTGTAACATTATGATTGTGTGTTACATTAAGATTGTGTGTAACAATATGATTGTGTGTAACAATATGACTGTGTGTAACAATATGATTGTGTGTAACAATATGACTGTGTGTAACAATATGATTGTGTGTAACAATATGACTGTGTTTAACATTATGATTGTGTGTAACATTATGATTGTGTGTAACATTATAATTGTGTGTAACATTATGATTGTGTGTAAGAATATGATTGTGTGTAACATTATGATTGTGTGTTACATTATGATTGTGTGTAACAATATGATTGTGTGTAACAATATGATTGTGTGAAACAATATGATTGTGTGTAACAATATGAAAACACTCTGTGATTTTGCTTTCATTGTGTGTTTTTGCTTTCATTGTGTGATTGTGCTTTATTTACTTACAAAGGTTCGTGATATCAGTATTACTGAAAAGATGTGATGCATGATTATTCACAAAAATAATTATGTTATAGTTCCATCCCAAATACCCCTGCTATGCTGGGTGTTTTCGACATGGTATTTAAATGAGGTAGCACTATAAAGTCGGCATCACATTGCAAGTAGGCAATTACACCAGAATACCTATTTCAGCACATATACACACTTGAATGCATACGTTAGACACATGTCCTTTTATCACCTCAGCTGTTAATCGGACGTTAAACCCAATATAATAAAAGCTTAACTACGAGTTGGTCAAAAATAGAAATGTTTATCAAGTTGTCCTTTTTCACTAATTAGGTATACCTGTTTATCTCTCAGTAATACTAAATAACACATTATTCCTTTGTAGAGAACATCAAATTGATATTATAAAAATGTTCAAATAAAAAACCGCAAAAATTGTCATCAAAGCAAGCTACGCCTTGTATGTTATTCGAAAGGTTAAAAACATATATACGGTTGGTTGTTATAAAAAAAACTGTATCCGGTTGGTTGCTATAAACAAATTTGTATCCGGTTTGTTGCCAAGAACAAATATGTATCCGGTTGGTTGCTATGAACAAATATGTATTAGATTGGTTGCTATGAACAGATTTTGTAGTGCTTCATTGGTTACCATTGCCACTTAAGTATGTTGTCATATACTGAAATGTTTATTGCGAAAAATTGTTAAGCATTTGTAGTCATTCTGAAACGATTTGATCGCAAAGTATTAAGTAAGTAGTTTTATGAGTATCTTTCTAACTTCAAATAAAAAGCAAGGATATAAGTTATTAAATACAAAATTTATTTTTATAATATGTACAAGACAATTGCATTATAAATAAAAATATGGTAAACATAAATATCACAGTTTAAAACGACTTCGTCACTTGAGCTTCCATATTTTGGCAATGCCTTTCCTTTTAATGTAAATTTGACAAATAATGTATCCAATTTGGAAAATAAAGTAGACTTCACCTTAAATGCGTAAAAATCCATTTGGAAAAAGTTGTTTTTGAAAACCAGGAGTAAGGAGAGGATGCTTGCCCATAAAAGCAGTTACATTTTATCTGTTGCACAAGAAATATGTATGACTCCTGGGCGGTATGCCGAATCACGAGTTCTTAACTGTTATTCGACTGAAACATAGTCCACAGGTCTCGCAGATCGGGGCCAGGAAACACTGAACGATAGTGCCGAAGAACTTCTGGGCGCATCCACAGTAGATGGCGAAGATTCTGAGAGAGGGAGTTATGCACCAGATTTGGTCGAAAGCAATCAGGGCAAACTCACAACCCCAGTATAGGGCGATGCAAATTCCACAAAGACAGGTCATGAGCTTGTAGCAGCAGTTTTTACCGCAGGTGAAACACCAGTAACTGTTCTTCCACACGCAGTCCATGCTGTGAGCGCCTTCTGGTTCTCCCAAGACATCCTCGAAAGCAACCTGATTCAGACAAGAAACGACAATATAATTAACGTATTGTAACATCAAGACATTTTTAACAGCATGCATGTTTACGATGTAGAAATCAAGGTTCTGAAGAACAACATTATTTAAAGTTTTGTGATGACCTATTTCACTGGGTTGCTCTTCTCCATTGAAATTCATAAGATAAATCACTTATAACAATCAACCTATGGTAATTAAATGTCTTAGCTGAACATTAAATTGTCACTCAAAAGAAAACATGTCTTTAACTTTCTTGTTCCGGTTTGGTTATTACTGTTGTTATGGACAACCGTTATACAATATATTGGAACTACAGACTTAAATTCAAATAGAAAAAAAAAACAATCCTGAAAATGTTTTCGCGATCAAGTTTGAATTTTTGTTTGTTAAGATAAGCCGAAGTGTTTGCAATACTTCTGTAAAAACATGATTGATTTGGTTTTAGATTAGAAAAATACTAAAAGGAATTCGTTGAATTTTTCGTAAGGATTACCGTTTTTCATTTATTTTATTGAGAAGTTAAAAAAAAAAATGTGTTGCTTAGACATGTATTCACTCTTTGTTATTAACAGTATATGTACAATTTCCTTACCTTGCAATGGTCGTTCAGATCGTTTGGATCCCTATTTTCCATGTCACATTCGCCCTCGGATCGTTGTGCCATGGTGCTATTTGCCTTGGAATCTTTTCACTGATGCACCCGGTCAGGATATCGAGTCGTAACTGGTCGGCAGGCCTTTCTGGTCTTATATATCCCAAACACATAGGATTACCAGGGAGACCAGGCATACACAAATAATATCATTGATGCTCTCTTCGTTTCCCATTAACTTTTATATTGCAAGGATATTTAATGACATTCAAAATGTGATAGATTTAGATTTTCCCCTACAAAAGCGATCCACCTGAAAGAATATGTAAATGAGGAGAATGTCTTAGTATGGCTTGCAAAGGTAATCTTTCGAGCATTCATGCATGTCTTCCAAAGGGATACAAATTGGTAAAGCAGAGTAATGTCCTCATGTTATGTTTATTAGATGTTTCAATTGAATGCCATCAATGCACGCGACGGATTTACATTAATGGAAACTGAATGAAAAAAATATAGACTGATTAATTAATTCTTGACTGACATTTCTATTTGTCCAATAGCAAACCTTGATCAGATTTTACTCTTGGTTAGTGGAACATTCCTCGTGCAAATCATTTCCCTTTGCTCAGTCCTGTTCAGACGATGCTCTTATAAATCGGCTTCTCAATCGGAATAGTTTGGTACGTTTCTTTCTCCTGGAATTTAAAACACCACTCACATTACATTAGGCGTACCATGTGAGATATTGGTTATCACACCAGTATCTGCTGAAAACAGCAATAAACTGTATTCGATTATAAGTCATGATACGGATTCAAACCGACTGGTAGGTTAAATGTTAAGTGTTTTGAATATGACTTGTATAGAATTTCGAGCATGTCAATGTCATATACGACATATTTTGATAATATTTTATTCTTAGTATCTTATACAGTAATGAATAGGAATTTTATGTATTACAAAAAGGATAGGACAACAGATTAAACCTATATCTGTCCTCTAAAATAATATAACACATTTATATGTATACATATTAATATATGTAAAGCAAGCGAAGATGGTTACTGTGAAATAGTTCATTTAAACAGTTAGGTCATACAAAATGAAATATCAATTTCTAAAATATGTCACATACTAAACATCAGTATCAACCACGTAACAACAAATAACATGCAGTACACGTATGTTTATGCAATTAATAAAGAGATGTCAACACGAACTATGTTTTACTTATCAACACATATTTTATCTGAAAATATAAAAAAAAAGTGTATTAAATGGAAAAAAGTGACAAAAAATGCATAAAAAAGCAGGCTTAAAAAATGTAAATAACAGATATGGGTTTATACTCTCCAACACCTTAAAGATCACTGTTATATGGCTGGGACGGTTTGAATTCTATTTAATCTGCCTTTTATTTTCCTTATATTATTAAAATATATATTTACAAAGCACATGGTACGTTTAAATTGACTTGCATTTTATACTCAATTAAGGATGAGTGGATCAATCTCCTGTATGTGTGTTGCGTTCATCTTTCCTATTCTTCACATGAGATACCCATACGTTCGGTCTTATATCCTTCCTTTGAAACATGAGCCACCTTCTTTATACGCCTCAATGCAGTTTACATGTAGTGAATATCTAATACATGGACCAACAAAAGTTAACCTTTAAAGGTTTCCTCTGGTACACGCTAACGTAAAGTATTAGGCATGAAGCTCTCTACATACTTTCATATTCATAAATTATATGTATATATATAGTATCATACGTGCTAGGGGCAATTAAGTGCACATAAATGTTGACGGCATAAAAATGGCGAGGATCAACTTATACATTTATCTTTTCCTCAATACCTGGGGTATGTGCATGCATATAATTTGCAGATGGATTAAGATTTATTTGGAAGGTGGGAATAGCCATAGGGTCTCATAAATACTAGTAAAATGCATTTGTGCATGCAGGATAATCAAAACAGAGACAATGATCGTGTCATCTTTACTCAGTGAGAATTATTAGACATTTGCAGAAATTTAGAACGTACGTAGGTCATATTTATTTATTACGTTATTAAGATTGGGAATAGTTTACACATTATATAACAGATATCCAGCTACACACTGTAAGAGTATCTACTAGAACCTAAACATGACAGATAAAATATGATAATATACTTGACCCTGACAATGGTAGATCAGCTCTATACCACTATGCCCTGGCCATGGTAGATCAAATGTACACTATTAGTCCCTGAACATGGTAGATTAGCTGTAACCTACTAGACCATACACATGGTAAATCAGATGTATTCTAATAGACCTTGCCCATGTAAATCAGCTGTATTCTACTAGACCCTGACCATATTAGATCAGCTGTATCATACTTGACCCTGACCATGATAGATCAGCTCTATCCTACTAGACAAGCACACGTTAGATCAGCTGTGTCCTACTAGTCCCTGACAATAGTAGATTGGCTGCGTCCTACTATACCCTGGCAATGGTAGATCAAATGTACACTATTAGTCCCTGACCATGGTAGATCAGCTGCGTCCTACTAGTCCCTGACCATGGTAGATCAGCTGTATACCACTAGACCCTGAACATGGTAGATCAGCTGTATCATACTTGACCCTGACCTTGATAGATCAGCTCTATCCTACTAGACAAGCACACGTTAGATCAGCTGTGTCCTACTAGTCCCTGACAATAGTAGATCAGCTGTGTCTTACTTCACCTTGCCCATGGTAAATCAGTTGTATCCTACTAGACCCTGACCATGGTAGATCAGCTGTATCATACTTGACCCTGACAAAGGAGAATCAGCTCTACCCAATCAGATTATCACATTGGTAGATTAGCTGTATCCTACTAGACCCTGGCTATGGTAGATCAGCTGTATCATACTTGACCCTGACCATGATAGATCAGCTCTATCCTACCAGACAAGCACACGCTAGATCAGCTGTGTCTTACTAGATCCTGTCCATGGTAGATCAACTCTATCCAGCTAGGTCCTACATGACCCAGCCCATGGTAAACCAGTTGTGTCCTTCTAGACCTATCACATGGTAGATAAGCTCTATCCTACTAGACAAGCACATGGTAGATCAGCTGCATCCGACAAGTCCCTGACAATGGTAGATCAGCTGTATCCTACTAATCCCTTACAATGCAGCTGTATCTTACTAGACCCAGACCATGGTAGATCAGCTGTATCTTATCAGACCTTAGCCATGCCAGATCAGCTGTATTCTACTAGACCCTACCCATGGTAAATAAACTCTATTCAACTAGGCAAGCACATGGTAGATCAACTGTATCTAACTAGTCCCTGACAATGGTAGATAGCTCTGTCCTTCTAGACAAGCACATGGTAAATCAGTTGTATCTTACTAGACCGTGACCATGGTAGATCAGCTGTATCCTACTAGACCCTGACCATGGTAGATCAGCTGTATACCACTAGACCCTGACCATGGTAGATCAGCTGTATCCTACTAGACCCTGACCATGATAGATCAACTGTATCCTACCAGACAAGCACACGGTAGATCAGCTGCGTCCTACTAGTCCCTGACCATGGTAGATCGTATGTATACTACTAGACCCTTACCATGGTAGATCAGCTGTATCATACTTGACTCTGACCCTGATAGATCAGCTCTATCCTACCAGACAAGCACATCATACTTGACCCTGACAAAGGAGGATCACCTCTACCCAATTAGATTATCACCCTGGTAGATTAGCTGTATCCTTCTAGACCCTGGCCATGGTAGATCAGCTGTATCCTACTAGACCCTGACAATGGTAGATCAGCTGTATCTTACTAGACCCTGACCATGGTAGATCAGCTGTATCATACTAGATCCTGAACATGGTATATTAGCTATATCCTAATATACCTTGACCATGGTAGATTAGCTGTATCCTACTAGACTCTGACCATGGTAGATTAGTTGTCTCCTAATAGACCCTGAACATGGTATGTTAGCTGTTTCCTACTAGACCTTAGCCATGGTAGATCAGATGAATCCTACTAGACCCTGCCCATGACAGATCAACTCTATCCAGCTAGGTCCTACATGACCCAGCCCATGGTAAATCAGTTGTTTCCTTCTAGACCTAGCACATGTAGATAAGATCTATCCTACTAAATAAGCACATGGTAAATCAGCTGTATCCCACTAGACTCTGCCCATAGTAGATCAGCTGTATCCTATTAGACCCTACCCATGGTAGATCAGCTCTATCCTGCTTGACCTTACCAATTGTAAATCAGCTGTATCCTACTAAACCCTGGCAATGGTAGATCAGTTCTATCCTTATAGACAAGCACATGGTAAATCAGCTGTGACCTACTAGACCCTACCAATGGTAGATCAGCGGTATCCTACTAGATTTCGTCCATGGTAAATCAGCTGTATCCTACTATTCCCTGACAATGGTAGATCAGCTGTATCATACTAGATCCTGAACATGGTATATTAGCTATATCCTAATATACCTTGACCATGGTAGATTAGCTGTATCCTACTAGACTCTGACCATGGTAGATTAGTTGTCTCCTAATAGACCCTGAACATGGTATGTTAGCTGTTTCCTACTAGACCTTAGCCATGGTAGATCAGATGAATCCTACTAGACCCTCCCCATGATAGATCAACTCTATCCAGCTAGGTCCTACATGACCCAGCCCATGGTAAATCAGTTGTGTCCTTCTAGACCTGGCACATGTAGATAAGATCTATCCTACTAAATAAGCACATGGTAAATCAGCTGTATCCCACTAACCCCTGGCAATGGTAGATCAGTTCTATCCTTATAGACAAGCACATGGTAGATCAGCGGTATCCTACTAGATTTCGTCCATGGTAAATCAGCTGTATCCTACTATTCCCTGACAATGGTAAATCAGCTGTGACCTACTAGACCCTACCAATGGTAGATCAGCTGTATCCTACTAGACCCTGACCATGGTAGATCAGCTGTATCCTACTATTCCCTGACCATGGTAGATCAGCTGTATCCTACTAGACTCTGACCATGGTAGATCAGCTGTATCCTACTAGTCCCTGACCATGGTAGATCAGCTGTATCCTACTAGACCCTGACCATGGTAGATCCGCTGTATCCTACTAAACCCTGAACATTGGATATCAGCTGTATCCTA